AAAAAAGGAAGAAAGGCCAAGGTAGGTGAATCACTTGAGCTCAGGAGTTCAAAACCAGCCTGGGAAACATGGTGAAAACCCATCTCTACAAAAAATAAAAAAATTAGCCAGGTGTGGTGGTGCACATCTATAGACCCAGCTACTTGGATGGCTGAAACAAGAGAATCGCTTGAGCCCAGGAGGTTGAGGCTCCAATAAGCTGTAATTGTGCCACTGCATTACAGCCTGGGCAACAGAGCAAGACTCTGTCCCAAAAAATAAAAAAAAAAGAATAAAAGTAACTGATGGAAGTAAAGAACTTTAAAGTTTACAAAAAATTTATGAATTGTCTTTCATATATTTCCCCTAATTGATTCTCAGATTGACAATAATCCTCTGTAGCAAAGTATCAATGTGTCTAATTTGGAGATGAGGAAGTGAATTATTTTAAGAAGATGATTCAATTCTCTTTATCCTAGGTTCAGTTTATAATTTTAAAAAAATGAAGTCATTAAGATTTAAATCTATTGAGAACACCCTAAGAGGATAGAAACATACGTAATATATTTAATAAAAATTCTCCACAGGGTGTGGTGGCTCACGCCTGTAATCCCAACACTTTGGGAGGCCTAGGTGGGTGGATTACCTGAGGTCAGGAGTTTGAGACCAGCCTGACCAACATGGTGAAACGCCGTCTTTACTAAAAATGCAAAAATTAGCTGGTCATGGTGGTGGGAGCCTGTAATCCCAGCTACTCTGGAGGCTGAGGCACAAGAATCACTTGAACCCAAGAGGCGGAGGTTGCAGTGAGCAGAGATCGTGCCACCATGCTCCAGCCTGGGCGACAGAGTGAGACTTCGTCAAAAAAAAAAAAAAAAAATGCAAATTAGTGAAATCTTTAAAATATTTTGACAATAAAGTCTCATCTCTTTGGAAAATTCACTTTTAACTCATTCATTCTTACCTGTTTGTTGAGGGCCTATGATGCGTGCAACACCGATAGGTGCTAGAAAGAGGTGGAATCCTGGTGCATGGCCCATAGCCTGAAGTTGATAATCTGAGGAAGAAAATAAAACACAAACATGTTAGCCTCAGATGAGGGCCAGTAGACCTACTAAACAAATACCTGTAGTTAGGTACTGGAAAGGAAGCACGTGTTACTTCCAAAGTGGCTTCTTGGGACTGGCATTTACCTTGTGATAGGTGGTTTACACAGGGGACACTTTGAGTGTTCCACAGACACTCTAGGTCAATGGAGAGGCAGGTGCAGAAAAGCTGAGGGAACACAGGGCTCATTCAGAAGTGGAAAGTACCCTGATGTGCCTGAAGCATGAAGCAACCTGTTGGGCAATCTAGGAAAAACAAAAAACAAAAACTAAAACTAAAACACTGAAAATGCATTCATTCACTCAGCTAACATTTGTTGAGGGTCTCTTACATGGCAGGCTGTGCTCTAGACTGGCCACCCGGCAGTTAGAGGGCAGACTTGCTACCTGCAAAAAGCTTATGTTCTAGTGAGGAGACAAGAAAACAAACAAACAACTATATAACGAAGTATCAGGAACTGACCAATGCTAAGAAGAAACATAAAGCAGGCTGACGGGATAGGCCTTGGTGGTGGCAGGGTGGATTTAGAGAGGGGTGGTACTGCCTTAGAGCCAACAAGGAGGGTCTCTCTGAGTAAGAGACAATTCAGAGACCAGGATGAAATGGAAAACTGAGACATGAATTCCCTAAGCCACAAACCTCCCAAAGTTTATCCCAAAGAAAAGAAAAGAAGAAACAAGAAAAGAAAGAAAGGAAGAAACAAAGCAAAGCAAAGCAAAGTTAGGAGCCCATTTTGCTGAGAAACTCTTTTAAATAAGCTGCAAAGTACTTGAATCCTGCTCAATTTTCACTTCTAGGATTCTGCAGCTCAATTCCATAGCCTGTTTCTTCATTCTCCACCACCGCTTCTGTTCCAGTGGGCAGGAGAGAGCTCTGAAAACACACATGCACTCGCCCACATACCCACAGCTAGGCTGGATCCTGTGACAAGGAATATCACAGAAATACTCCCAGCCTCCTATACCTCTTCTACTTGCCCCCACACCCTGCAGAGTTAGAGTCCGTAGATAAGCCCTTGGGGCCTCCTCTTCTTTGTCCTCTTTGTCCCCTTCTTTTTCCCACTCACTGGTTTCCAGCCATCCCCCTTCCTGTGGTGTCCCTCTCACTACGTGAAATGCAGCTCTGAGGGACCCCATTCAGTCTTATGCCTCGGGCCTTAGGTGTAGGTAACTGCCTTGCTTTCTGCCCCTTCTGCGTTATCGACTTGTTCATTCAGGTTGAGATAATAAAATGTAGAAATGGGGAAAAATTAAAGCTTGAGACTTAACTAGGATCTAATCATGGCAACATGTGCTGTTGGGCCAAACATAGGTTGCAAACACAAACCACAGCAGGACAAGGCACATGATACAAGTCTATGAAGAGCATCTGCAACACAATAAGGGCTAAGCTTGCTATATTTCACTCAACAATAGAACTCGTATGGATGTATTGCCTTTTAATAGACTGTGATTCAAACAAAACAACTATAGGCTGGCATATAGGCTGCCAGTAGGCCACCATGGTTCCCACTCTAGGACTTGCCCCTCTGTAAATGGGGAAATCAAGGAAAGATCTTGAGCAGTGGGGGAGGCATGGTCAAGCAGTAGTTGAAAGGATTAATCTGGTGACATTGTACAAGTAAACTGCAAGAAGCTGAGCTTGCGAAGCCGGGAAGATATGGTTGAAGGCCATTGTGAGGAAGGATGAGGACCTGGACTACTTTAATAAGCAGTGGGAGTTTTTCTTAATTGGATAGAACGAGATTGAAAATGATTCAAAAGGGCCAGTTGTGGTGGCTCATGCCTGTAATCCCAACCCTTTGGGAGGCTGAGGCAGAAGGATCACTTGAGCCTAGGAATTTGAGACCAGCCTGAGCAACCTAGGAAGACCTCATCTATAAAAATAATAATAATAATAAATTAGCTGGGTGTAGTGGTGGATGCCTGTAGCCCTAGCTACTTGGGAGGCTGAGGTGGGAGGATCATTTGAGCTGAGGAATTCGAGGCTGCAGTGAGCTGGGATGGCACTACTGCACTCCAGCCTGGGTGACAGTGAGACCCTACCTCAAAAAAAAAAAAAAAAAAAAAAAAAGAAAAGGAAAAATCCACAGGCTTTGGTAACAAATTGGAGAGGGACAGAATCAAAATAACTAACTATATGGTTCAATCCCAGATAATGGAAGAAGGCTGGAAGCATATAAAGCTCAAGCAAAGGGTGTTAATCTGGGGAAAGAAAACACTGTTTGAGTTGTTAGTGTTCTGGTTCAGGTTAGGGTTAGACATCCACATAATGTCAGTCCATTGGGCTGTTGGAATTATAGCAGCAGAACCCTTGGAGGACGGATCACAATGGGAGCAATGTGGGATGAATGGGGATAAATGCTAAATCTGGGTACTGGAAAGGATAAAGAGAGGGCAGAGCAAAGTCCAGAGGTTTCATCTTTGTGGAAGGTCTATATTCAGAGCAAAGAGGAAGTAGAAGCCCAACTCAAACAGGCAGATAAAGAGAGATCAAAGGGATGAGGGTGAGATACAGTCCCCTCGTACCCAAGGAGACGGGGAGGTTACAGACTGGAAAAATTGAGAATAATCACCTCTGATAAAGACCACAGAAGTTGCCTGGGAGGTGTTTGGTACGCTTGGAGTTAGTTACATTTGTCGGGTGGATGGGCAGAAGTCAGATTTCATAGCACTGAGGACGCAGCACAAGGAGAAGTTCAAGATCAATTCCTAAGGCAACTTGGCACTAAAAAACATGAAGTATGTTCTGAAGGCTTTACCCTGGGGATAAGGGAACGGAGGCGATAACAGCAGAAGTGGCAGCCACTGGCAATCCTTTCTTTCCATGGTTTGGCTTATACTCCAAAACCACTTATTAGTGCATTCTGCAAAAAGTTTCTTATCCTTTTGGAATAAAGCTTGGATCCTAAGCTCCATTCACACCTGCGTGATAATGAACCAGCTAGCACTGTACTCAGGAAGCATGCAAAGTTCTGAATCTTATAACAGAAAGCGAAAGCAAAAATAAATTCCCCTTCAGTCAAATCTGCAGCAGCATGACTTAAGGTAATGTATCAACATTTCTGTTGGGTTTGTCTTAAAATTAGAATTTTTCAATGAGAATAATGAACTGAAGGTATAGAACTGCTGCGTTGAGAAGGTTTTGTAATCTAAGGCAACATTCTGGAGGACTGGGGTGAATTGGGCATGGCTGTATTAGAAAGTGTATGCAGTCGAGGGTGGCACTTGATCTAAGACTCTACTGCACTGACTCACTCTCTTTCAGAGATCTTTTTGTCTTTTCTAAACATTTGTGACAATTCTTGCCTCTTCAATCCCAGGATGTTTTGTTCACTGCATTGCTATTTAAGGCACAGTGCAGTATAATAGAAAGCTAGAGGTCAAAGAGCTGTGTTTTAGTCCTGATTCTGCTTCAAACTTCCTGTGTGGATTTTGAGAAGTCACCATCCTGTTTCTTTACCTGTTTATTTAATTTAATTTATGTATTTATTTATTTATTTTGAGACAGAGCCTCGCTCTGTCGCCGAGGCTAGAGTGCAGCAGCACGATTCAGCTTACTGCAACCTCCACCTCCCAGGTTCAAGCGATTCTCGTGCCTCAGCCTCCTGAGTAGCTGAGACTACAGACATGTGCCACCAGGTCTGGCTAATTGTTGTATTTTTAGTAGAGACAGGATTTCACCATGTTGGTGAGGTTGGTCTCGAATACCTGACCTCAGGTGATCTGCCCACCTCGGCCTCCCAAAATGCTGGGATTACAGACCTAAGTCACTGTGTCTGGTCCTGTTTCTTTATCTGAATACTAAGGACTTGTACTAGCTGGTCTTTAAAACCCTTACTAGTTCTAAAGTTAAAGACTGTGTGAGTAAAGCTTTTCTCTCTACTTTTATCAATCAAGTACATCTCTGGGAGTGTCTGCTACAAGTGGGGGCAGAGCTACTCCTTCATTTTGGTCACCGAATGCAAGTTATAATCCCAATAATAATTTCCTATCCAACACTCATTACTTGCTTCCTATATGCTCCATGCTGTGCTGTGCCAACTTCTTCACATGAATTATTTCATTTAATCATAGCAGCATGAGGAAGACATAATTATTACACTGTTTTATGGGTGAGATAAATGAAGCTCAAAAAGTCAGAAACTTTGCCCATGATGACACAGGTGAGGTTGGTAGACTTAGTATTGGAATCCGGTCTGATTCCAAAGCCTCAGACCCACCTAGTAAGTCATTCCATTTTTTTTAAACCCTCCAAAACTCAAGTTAATAGACCAATTATGAGTGTACTTATCAGAGGTTCTTGGAACATTGAGATTTGTAGCAGTAATTTAATGCTTGTTTTTCAAAAGGAGGGAGAAGTATCTTTATTTAATATTATTTTATTTTTGTTCCTTTAATAATACCTGTTATCTGCATTAGTATTGCAAATTGAAAAATTGAAGTAATTATTTGGATAATTAATACTGCAAAACTTGTTAAGGATTATAAAAAGAAGCAGCAGCAGAGAAAATCTTCATGGTTTCAGTTGGAGCAGTAAGGAGGTAAGTAGAGGCAGGTGGCAGGGTGAGAGTAAGAATTGATTCTCCTAAATTAACTATGCTGTTCATCCTAACTTTATATGTGTTATAGCTTTACCCTTCGAAGAGTAAGAAACTTAGTTCTATTTACAAAGGTAGTAAATTCAGTTTGATTTAATTGTGCTTTCAAAAGTAGTGTAAAGGAAAAGAACTAAACCTTTAAAAAATTATGTGAGAATATTATAAACTCAAAATTTATTTCAATGGCTTTTGACATATTGAAAATAAACGGAGGATAAACACCTACCTTGACCAGCAACCTTTACACCAGTAGCCATAAAATGAGGCCATTCAGATAATGTTATCGAAAGAGTTGAAGTTCAATGCCATTAGTAGTAGTAATAATAATATCTGGTATCCAAAGAATATAGAATATATACAGACTATTCTTTGTGACTTATGAAGACAAAATAGAGATATCTTGCAGAGTTTACTTTCGGGCATACTCTTAAGATTACACATGTGCCTGTGGTTCCAGCTACTTGGGAGGCTGAGGCATCAGGATTGCTTGACCCCAGGAATTTGAGGCCAGCCTAGCCAACATAGTGAGACATTGTCTTTTAAAAAAAATAAAATACGACTGGGCGCAGTGGCTCACACCTATAATCCCAGCACTTTGGGAAGCCGAGGCAAGTGGATCACCTGAGATCAGGAGTTTGAGACCAGCCAGGCCAACATGGTGAAACCCCGTCTCTACTAAAAATACAAAAATTAGCTGGGCATGGCGGCACATGACTGTAATCCCAGTTACTCAACAGGCTGAGGCAGAAGAACCACTTGAACCCAGGAGTCAGAGGTTGCAGTGAGCCGAGACATCGCCACTGTACTCCAGCCTGGACAACAGAGAGAGATTCCATCGCAAAAACATAAATAAATAAAAATAAAATAAAATAGATTGGTCACAGTGGCTCACGCCTGTAATCCCAACGCTTTGGGAGGCTAAGCGGGGAGGATTGCTTGAGTTCAGGAGTTTGAGACCAGCCTGGGTAACACAGGGAGACACCCCTCTCTCCAAAAAGTAGCCAGGTGTGGCGGTGTGTGTCCGTAGTCCCAGCTACTCTGGAGGCTGAGGTGGGAGGATCACTTGAGCCCAGGAAGTTGAGGCCACGGTGAGCTGTGATCATGATTGCACACTCTACTCCCGCCTGGGCAACAGAGCAAGACCCTGTCTAAAACATAAATAAATAAACAAAAATTTAAAATATAAACAAATGTTAAAAACATTCAACATGCAATAAATTTACACACCTGCTTTCTGCTCGTTGCACAAGAATTCAGAAGAAATTCATTACATTCAATTTTAAGGTAGGGTTTTTGGGGAGAATCCTAAAAGGTTTTTATTTATAACAACCAGATAACAGCTTAATTTCTGCTTTATTTTATGGATACTTGGCATAATTCAGACAGAAAGCAGATTTTCCCTTACTCACTCATAACTTTTTACATGTTTAAGATTTTATTTGTAAATTGAAATCTTTTTCTTCATGTTATAAGTGTGTTTTTTTTCTTCTAGATTAAATTCATATATTGAAAATATTGTCCAGACCCCGTGTGACAGAACAGGAGCCAGTGCAGTGCTATGAAGAACTACGAGATTAGCCTGGATATTAACTTGTCTTCTAGGGAATAGATATCATGTTCCATTCTTCTGCAATGGTTAATTCACACAGAAAACCAATGTTTAATATTCACACAGGATTTTACTGCTTAGCAGCCATCTTGCTCCAAATACGCGTTTGTTCTCAATTCTCAGTGCCATCTAGTCATCACTTCACTGAGGATCCTGGGGCTTTCCCAGTAGCCTCCAATGGGGAACCATTTCCTTGGCAGGAGCTAAGACTCCCCAACGTGGTCATTCCCCTCCATTATGACCTCTTTGTGCACCCCAATCTCACCTCTCTGGACTTTGTTGCATCTGAGAAGATCGAGGTCTTGGTCAGCAATGCTACCCAGTTTATCATCTTGCACAGCAAAGATCTTGAAATCACAAATGCCACTCTTCAGTCAGAGGAAGATTCAAGATACATGAAATCAGGAAAAGAGCTGAAAGTTTTGAGTTATCCTGCTCATCAACAAATTGCACTGCTGGTTCCAGAGAAACTTACGCCTCACCTGAAATACTATGTGGCTATTGACTTCCAAGCCAAGTTAGCTGATGGCTTTGAAGGGTTTTATAAAAGCACATACAGAACTCTTGGTGGTGAAACAAGGTAAGAACTTGCTCAGGTAATTTACATTCTCTTGTGATAATTTCCTTATGAGTTACATCTCTTTGCCAGGAGCAGACTTCAGCAGCCATTTATGAGAAATCCAGTAAACTATGGGGAACCCAGAAGAAGGAAAAGCTCTACCATTCCTTAAGGAAACCACAGTAGAGATGGAAGACAGGACACAGAGGCATAAACAGCTGGAGGGTGAATAACTAGGAGGAGAGTACAGTATATGACTAATGTGATGGATATGCTTATGTGCTAGGGAAAGAGATGGTCAGTGCAGAGAGGGCTGAAATAGGGAATGTTTCTCAAAGGAAGCGAGTCTTCATCTGGGACCAGAAGGAAATGTAAGTGAGATTGGGGTTGGGAGAGAGGAAGTGACAGAGTATACATTGCCTAGGTAACACCATGACTCATATAGAATAGGCAGAAATAAGGAACAAGTTTGTTTGGAAAATGGAGAAATATAGTCTATTTGATCAAGTCACATTCACTGAGCACAAACTATGTGCCAGGCACTGCACTAGGCACTGAATGTATCATGGTGGGATCTGATGGAACAGACAACCAGGGCAAGAAAATAAATAAAACTGGCAAGGTAAGGAGCCAGTGTTATGAATGAAATAAAACAAGGTGCAAAAAAGGTAGAAAATGTGACTGAGGATTGAGACTAACTCAGTTGACTGGGCAGGGAAGTGTTTGTTGAGGAAGTGAATTTAAACTGAGAGCTTTTTTTTTTTTTTAAGAGACAGTTATGAGAACATCTCAGGACAAGTGCAAAGGCTCTAAAGTGGTATTGGTTGAGAGAAGAAGGCCAGTGTGAGCTGAGGAGAGTGAACAAGAGGGAGAAAGGGATCAGATCACGTGGAGCCTTGGGGCATCTTATAAGGAGTTTTGACTGTAACTCAGATGGAATGGGAAGTCATTGGAAGATTCTGCTCTGATTTATGCTTTAAAAAGATCAAGTCTATGTTGAGGGTATGTTATAGAGAAGCAGTGTAATCATTTGGGAGGTTGCTGCAGTAGTTCAGGTAAGAAGTGATGCTAATTTGGGACAGGCTAGTGACAGTGCTTATGGAGTGAAGCAATTGAACTTGGCAGTTATTCTGGAGGGCAAAATAACAGAGATTATCATGTGATCTCTATCACATGTGAGGTGTGAGGTGAGGGAAAGAGAAGAATCAAGGATGCTTCATAGAGTGGATGGTTTGGTTTCCCAGGGCCAGGATCCATCTGGGAGGTAAGAGGAGTCTGGCTCAGTGCACTCTGATATTATATGAATTGTGTTCAATTGCCATTTGGAGAAAACTAAATTCCATGGCTTAACCACACAGAGGTATATTTTTCTCATGCAACAAGAAGTCCAGAAGTGGAGCAGCTCAGAGCTGCTGTAGTGCTGTTCAGCGTCATCCAGGACCCAGGCTCCTTCTGTCTTTCTGCTCAGCCATCCTATGGCTTTCTTCCTAATACTTGCAAGATGATTGCTGCACCTCTAGGCATCAAGTCCACATTCTAGGCAGGAAGAAGGGGGACATGGGGGAGAGATAAGGGCAAAAAGAAACATTCTAGTTGAATCTAACACTCTTTACAAAGATTTCGCACCCAACGATTTCTGCTAGGCCAGAATGAGTCACAGCCTCCTGAAGAAGTAACTCCCTTATCTGGACTTGCTGCCTTCCTGAATAAAATCAGGATTCCACTGGAACCAAGGAAGGGGAATGGGCACCAGGAAAGCAACTAACTGTGTCTGCTACATACCTGCTCTTCCCTTCCCTACCTTGGGTGCTCACTGCACAGACTCCAGCCATCCACGTAGGACAGCTCTTCCCCAGGCTCATCTCTTTCCACATTCCCTTGGTGACACTTCCCCTCATTGCAGCCACAATCCTCAGGGACTTGTTCTCAGGCTCAGCATAGTATTGGATGGGAAAAGTATCAACCTCTTCTCACTAAGGTACCACGTAAACAATGATGGCTTTTTTCATTTTTTTCAAATGCCGAAGGCCCCATCCAAAGGACATACATCTTAGGGATACTATTCTGGGGGCTGTGGGAGATGAGATGGGGAGATATTTGGAGTAAAGCTGGAAAGCTTTCCAGCATGCCTCCCATGATTAAACGCAGGCTATTCCTGATGCTTCTTATGGTTGATTAGTCAGTTCCCCTCATACTCAGTCACCTAGTAGGGCTGACATGTATGATAATGTACTGCACAATGTCAATTGAATCTTGTGAATCTCTCTTTCTCTCTCTCTTTCTTCCTCACTTCTTCATCTAAAATACACAAATAATTCAGTTGATGGTGGTTCTTTTGAGATGCAGAAAGTCACACGTTGCCTGTAGAGCTCAAATTAATCATCTAAGCAACAAAGATTCAGTTTTTTTGTTTTTTCAATGTAGACTCATTACAACCAAAATTTCATGTGAGTGAAAATTATTCCAGCCACTTAGAATTCCTTTACATTTGCAGAAACTGCTACCAAATACAAATAAAACCTTGAGGCCACAAGTGAATCATTTACATCCCTAGTCTCAGTTTCCCAGCCTGTGGCATAGAAATAAAGTAAGCTGAAGTAAAATATGCCGACAGCTTCTCTTTTTGCCCTCCTGATCTCTCTCTCCCTCTTATTTGAGCTATTCTATTCTCCCTTCCTTTTCCAGTCAAAATCTGCTCTTCAGATTCACTTCTTAATTGAAGCTTAACCTCCAAGGAGTAAATCTGCAACCGTACAGTTTCAGGCATATCCAGGTGTTGGGGAAGAGAAGTTTGTCAGAGTATATATCTATTATACCTGTCATCGTCTGAAGAGTCCCAAGCAGAGAGAACTAGAAGTACCTGGGGGCACAGGTGCAACAGAGGGATCGCTAGCCAACAATGGTACAAGAATATGAAAGCCCAGCTCCTTGCCTCCAGTGGGGGACATGTGAAGGCGTAGTTTGCATCCCAGAGCAACCTGGGAATCAGGTTGATGCTGGAACTTTGCCTGTCCTGCACCCTTGCCTGGCTTCTCCCTTTTCCCTGTCCTGCTTCCTTCACTCCCTTACCTGTTTCTCCTGGCAAGATGTTCTCAGTAAGTCAGGATCTGCTTCCTGAAAATACAACTTAGGACATCACTCATGTACACAATTACTCAAATGTCTGCTGAGGCCCTTTCAGGTTTAGAGACAGTACTGAACGTTTAATTTCCTAGTCAATTTTGAAGCCATGTAGGCAACATGTGTACTATCTCAGTCATTTACTGGCCACGGATCCTGCTAAGGTCGTTCAAGTTGTCTGAGCCTCAATATCCTTGTTTGACCTGAGTATGAATGAAATAGTGTAATTAGGGTTCCCAGAACAGGGCATTGCTCATGATTGGTAGCTGCTAAGTAAGATTTTACCTTCATTTTCCTCAAAGAGACAGTTGAGATTCACAAAGATTGCAGTTTGAGAAATCAAGTCTATTACCCCCAGATTTGATAAGCCATTTGCTAAATGTACAGATTCATTTCTCTTCTTGATTTCACTTACGCATTTTGGCTGGGGGTGGGTCTTTTCACAGAATACTTGCAGTAACACATTTTGAGCCAACCCAGGCACGCATGGCTTTCCCTTGCTTTGATGAACCGTTGTTCAAAGCCAACTTTTCAATCAAGATACGAAGAGAGAGCGGGCATACTGCACTATCCAACATGCCAAAGGTATTTCCACTTACAGAAACTTTTAGAAATTGTTCTCAAGTTGAGACTCAGTCTTCGTTTGTTTTTTAAAATTACTTTCAAGATTTCAGCCATTAATTTGTTTTTATCTATTTATCTATCTATCTGTCTGTCTGTCTATCAATCAATCATCATAATTTCAATCCTTCTAGACTTGAACATCATTCCATTTGGGGCATTGTTACAGAGCTTTTTTTTTTTTCCAAGCAAAATGATTTATATTTTGTGTTCATATGGAAACAGTATCTTAAATCAGTGTTTCTTGGCCAGGGATGAAATTCAGAATCTCCTAGAGCAGCACTTCTCAAACTTTAGGGTGCAGATTAATGGTCTGAGGATCTTGCTAAAACTCAGATTCTGATTCAAGAAGTCTTGGGGTAAAGCTCGAAGCTCTACTTTTCTAACAAGCCCCCAGGTGATGCCACTGCTGATGGTCCAGAGACCCCTTTTGCAGCGGCAAGGACCTCAGGGACCCTGCAGGGCCCCAATCCAGGAAATTCTGATCTAGAAGTCTGTGATGGAACTTAGAAATCCCCTCTTTTAAGTTTCACAAGTAATTCTTAAATTTATATATGAAAATTACTAATTGTGATTATACAACTTTTTTTTTTTTTTTTTTTTTTTTGAGACAGAGTCTTACTCTGTTGCCCAGGTGGGAGTGCAATGGTGTGATCTCGGCTCACTGCAACCTCCGCCTCCTGGGTTCAAGTGATTCTCCTGCCTCAGCCTCCCAAGTAGCTGGGATTACAGGCTGCCACCACTACACCCAACTAATTTTTTTTGTATTTTCAGTAGAGACGGGGTTTCACCATGTTAGTCAGGCTGGTCTCGAACTCCTGACCTCAGGTGATCCACCTACCTCGGCCTCCCAAAGTGCTGGAATTACAGGCGTGAGCCACAGCGCCAGGCCTATACAACTTTTTTAATTGGAAGAGAACTTTGGGACTCTTATTTGGCTCATATTAGTACTCAAAATGCAGAGACTCTGGAAGACACCGTAGACCCTTTTCCTTGTTTGATACTTCCTCACTAATGATGTGCTTGCCATTTGTGCTGTTGAACAGAATGTAAAATATTTCTGTAACACTGCTTGGAAAGTAGAACAAAAATAGAGGCTTTTCTGACAGTGCTTCAGAAAGGTGGAGCACAGGAGGCAGCAGGTCATCCACAGCCAGCAAGTGGTCGCACGCCCGTTTTCCTCTCTGCCTCTACAGATGCAGGAGAGAAATGAGCCCATTATCTAGATGCTGCATCTCCCCAGATTTCTGCTTACTGTTGGAAAAGACGTTTGCTTTGAAATACTGGCAGAGCGGACCAAAGGAAAAAGTGGCAAACCTCCATGGGATCCATAGCTCAGTTTTTCTGTGATTGTAATAGATAGCAGTTTAATTAGCCCTTCATTTTCAGGTAGCAACAATTTGCTACTTTGATAGAGCTTAGGACAGCACTCATGTACACAATTACATCTTTCCAACAGCATGTTCGTTTCAAGACAGTGTACCATTGAAGTAGCTTTCCTGGAAGTTTTTTATTAATATAATTTTTTATCTGAATAATCATGGTGGGTAAAGTAAAAACACAGCCCTTTTCATAAAAATAGAATGCAAACATAAATTGCTGTTATCATTATTATGTTAGAATTTAAAATTTATATCTCAGAAATCTCCAGTAATTTCTCATGTTTAAGGAAAAGAAGCAAACACTTTGAAAATATTTTCTAAGGTCCTTGAATCTCTACTTTGCCCAGTTGACTGCAGCAGCTCGCTGAATCATGCCCTTTTCAGCGAATACTGATTTAACATTCTGCTTCTTATAAACATTGACCAACCCAGTCTCGCGTGGTTAGTCAAAAAAGGAGAACTGAAGTAATGTCACAATCATACTCTCTAGATAACAGTTGTAGCACCTAAGCTGGGTTATGTAGACTGGTGGGAAGAAACAATACACACTCAGTTCTCAATTTCCTTAGTTAAGAATGCAGGATTTAAGAGAAGTGAGGAGGCACTCAAGTGCTAGTAGAGGCAGCATATCTTTTGGACACTTATTTGTCTCTTTCATCCTTTAAGGAAATACATACTCACTGGTGACAATTGCTATGCCAGTAAAGTTCTGCTGGTACTGAGAAAACAGGCAATTCCTTGTCTAGCAACCAGTGTTTTGTACTTGGAGCTTACATCATCATCCTGGAAGAACTTACACTAATATCCCATACATGTTCATTTAGGGCAATATTAATCTACATGGGCCACTCCAGGTTTCTGAACAAAACTCAGCCTCCATGGACTATATCATCTTCATCTGGGGGGAATAAACCATAGCAAACACCCATTTGCCTCCTAACCGTCTCTGCCATCAGCCTTCTAGTAGCCCAGACTGATTTCCCCATAGTCTCACAGCCTCACCCCTCCACCAGTAACCCCTCCACACACTTGACTAAATGGTTTTGCTGCTGAGTTTGGTCAGAAGACCACCAATACCCTAGCTCTCAGTCCCCACCATAAGACAGCATCTCCTCTGCTGGGAGTGGATATCCAGAGAACGTTGGTTGAATCAGATTCCTAAAAATGGAGACTGTTGTTGGGGAAAATTAATTTGCTGGATAGAGTTTTAAAAAAGTACAGCCCTGTATATACTTCTACCTTTCTTAGGGTATTTGGTCAGTACCTTCTTCTTTATTGGAACTTAGAAATAGATTTGAAATAGAATTCAGTAAAATTAAATTCTGTAGAATTTAATAGCAAAAACATTTGCCATCGAAGTAGACTAGATAATTTATGATAATGCTTCAAGCTATTTTCTCTCACCAAAGCAAACTGTAATCTTCTCCAACATGTCAAATATGCTTAATAAGCTGCAGTCGGCATCATCACAAGCCTGACTCCCAGAAAGGGCTCAGGGATAGAGGTGGGGAAGAGCCTGTCTAAGAGTTGTGACTAGCTTGAAGAAAATGTTTTCAGATTTTTGAATCTGTACCCATTCGGTATTTAGGGGCATTGTACTATGGTGAAGACCATCTCTGAGACAAGCTGCCCAGACCAAATGAAGACGGAATTCAGTCATTACCCAGTGATCTTGATGGATGCAGCTGACGAGACTGCAGGCTGAAAAGCTTCTGCTTCCTCAGGAGATGGGCAGAAGCTTAAATTACTAATGACCTCCTTGGCCTGATTGCTTTCATTGCTGAATCAATGAAGCAAAGATAAAATAAGACCATGACTCAAGCTGTCATGCCGCAAGTGAGAGAATGAGCATCATCTTTGGAATCACACGATGGTCACCATCCACATCTTGGTCCTACCGTGGAACTAGCCATGTGATCTCCAACAATTCTGTGAACGTTTCTGAGTTTCTGTTTCCTCACCTGAGAAATAACGCCAACCTCACACCCACATAAGAGGTTTAAAAGACAATGTGAGGCCTCTAGTTCAGTTTCCTTTTTCCACAGAGGTGTATTTCTTGTACAACAAAGGGAAAGGCGCCATTATCTGGCATTTTACTTAAAAGCCCAGAAGTTGAATTGATGCCAGTGTTGGAGATTATTGCATTTTAAGAAAACAGAAATATCTAATATTTTAGTGCTTTCAATCAACAAAATGAGATTTGGCATTTTTGTGCTTTGGGGATCTCAAAAGCAGGGCTTTGTGTCTTCAACAGAGTGCCAGGGTAAAAGCAATAGAGGTAAGAGAGGCCACAGAATACTAGGAGAGGTCATTGCTCTCCTAGGAGGTCATCGATTGTCCTTTAGAGTATCAGGCTTGCCTCTAACTCACTTGACATAAGTCATAGGCATGGTTGTGAAATACTCCAGTTTTCAAGTACTGATTATTCCTTTTCGTTTCTGTAGGTTAAGACAATTGAACTTGAAGGAGGTCTTCTGGAAGATCACTTTGAAACTACTGTAAAAATGAGTACGTACCTTGTAGCCTACATTGTTTGTGATTTCCACTCTGTGAGTGGCATCACCTCATCAGGAGTCAAGGTGAGACTGAGTTCTAATTTTCTACGCAGTGCAGAAAAGTGTCCTGAGAGCAATGAACTTTTATTTTCTCATGTTTTTCCTTATTATCAAAGTATTATGTTTATATTACAAAAAGAGACAGATAAAAAACTAAATTAAAAATTATTCATAGTCTTGTCACCTAGATACAACTACTGATAATATTAATGGAAGCCTTCCAAATATTTTCTATATGTATGTCAGCATATACGGGTGTACATAGTAACAGTATTTACTGACTATATATATGTAAAGGTAGTTTTCAAAGTGTATATATATATACACACACACACACACACATATACCCTTTGCAAAATAGTATATTGACTATTTTAACCCATTTTTCATGAAAATATGCCATAAAAGTTGAATGTCACTAAAAATTTTAAATAATATTATATTAATATTTCATGGATGTTTAATAAGGATTTTAAAATCAGCACCTTATTTTTAGACATGTATATGGTTTCCCACTTTTTTTTTTTTTTTTTTTTTTGAGACAGATTCTCACTCTGTTGCCCAGGCTGGAGTGCAATGATGCAATCTCAGTTCACTGCAATCTCCACCTCTTGGGTTCAAGCGATTCTCCTGCCTCAGCTTCCTGAGTAGCTGGGATTACAGGCACGGGCCATCATGCCTGGCTAATTTTTATTTGTAGAGATGGGATTGCACCATGTTGACCAGGCTGGTCTTGAACTCCTGACCTCAGGTGATCCTCCTGCGTTGGCCTCCCAAAGTGTTGGGATTACAGGCGTGAGACACCGTGCCGGACCGTTTCCCACTGTTTTTTTTTAACTTTTTTCCCTCAGTGAAAAAGGTCTTTATAATTTTTAGAGTCTTCATTGTTTGCAAAAACTTACAATACCTAATGATTATCTTTGTAGTTAAATATTTGCAAACATCAGTGGACACATTAAATAAATAAAAAAGAACTTCTTATCCCAAGGGACCAAATTATAGACATAAAAACATCTTTAAAGAGTTATAAAATAATGCTTTTGAAAAATGGGTATAGGGCGGGCACAGTGGCTGATGCCTGTAATCCCAGCATTTGGGAGGCCGAGGCTGGCAGATTGCCTGAGGTCAGGAGTTTGAGATCAGCCTGGCCAACATGGGGAAACTCTGTCTCTACTAAAAACACAAAAATTAGCCAGACATGGTGGCAGGCACCTGTAATCCCAGCTACTCAGGAGGCTGAGGCAGGAGAATTGCTTGAAGCTGGGAGGCAGATGTTGCAGTAAACTGACATCGCGCCATACACTCCAGCCTGGGTGACAAGAGTGAGACTTGGTCTCAAAAAAAAAAAAAAAGAAAAAAAAATCGGTATAAAATATCTATTACAATTTACATACGTATTATGTTTATGAATAGGTAGATATATGAGTTGTGTAGCTACACATACACATCATGGCACCTCTGCACTTATATATATATATATGCATAGACATGGATGTGCAGGAGGTGAATGGCACTTCAGAGGACAGGTTCCTGTCAGCCTCTTTGGATTCACATCCCAGCTCTACAACTTTCAGCCTGGGTGATCAGGAGCAAGTTACTAAATCTTTATGTGTTTTTATTGTTTCATCTATAAAATGGCACCTGCTTCATGGAGTGGGTGCAAGTATTAAATTAGATTTTATGTGTAAGCATTCAGCACAGTGCCTGGTAAACTGTCAAAAAAATGGTGGCCATTTACATTTTCTCCACATAAAAGTTTTGAAGGACTTCAGTTAATTCAAAGCGTAAAAGTGGGTCATGAAATAAAAGTAGCCCCTTACTTAGAAGGCAATAAAATTTGAATCTAATTCTATTTTTTCTACTTGATAGCTAGTTTCTTTGGGGGAGCCATTGAACATATTTGAGCATTTCTTAGTTTAAAGCAAACTTGACAGACGGCGGATCCAATAAATTCTTCATGGCTTCCCTACGTAGGTCTAGAAGAAACCTATGTTTTATTTGAATTGTGTTTGTGGTCATTATTTTGGAAAGCTAGTTGTCAAGTGCTAAAGTATATCATAGAGATGAACTCAAGTGGATTCATCTCTATGATATACTTGGGTTATGATACGATGGGTTAATATGATTTGAAAGTTACAGATGAGCACTGAGGAAATGGATTGTAAAAGAAGATCCAGGGTGTTTGTAATTTTCAAGACTGACTTGCTTTAATACGTCACAGAAACTCTTATCCTTATTGACAACATGCTTAATGGTATCTTAATACTTTCTTAAAAAGATGCAGTCTGCTTTTCTATGTGAGAGGGTTATCAGGAATGGAATTTTGCCAGGGAGCTGTCATTCAAAAACCTCTTCTGATCTACATTTCCCAGGTGTCCATCTATGCATCCCCAGACAAACGGAATCAAACACATTATGCTTTGCAGGTGTCACTGAAGCTACTTGATTTTTATGAAAAGTACTTTGATATCAACTATCCACTCCCCAAACTGGGTATGTTCAAATTCCACATTATTGTCTTCATTTTTGCTCATAGAACTCGCTTTGATTTCTTCCCTCTTTCTCTTTCTGTGGGACTTAAATGAGCACTGAGGAATTCAGTTAGCCCAGGAAAAAATAATTTGTTCCTCAGAGATGATTCTTGATCGTAGAAAATAAAATATTTATGAGATGCCCCAGTAGTGTGGATCATTTCTGTATTCTTTTATCAGGTTTAATGCTAACATATCTGCATTGCAATCTTTCCCAGGCCGATTAGAAAGGGCACACACTGGAGGCTGGGACGGAAGCCAGGTAGAGGGCCCTGGAAAAAGATGGGGAAAAAAAGAGAAGGAAACCAGTGACTCTTCTGTTCGAAATAAGGGTCTATATGTCCAAGAGTTCATCACAGGAATGCTTTTTGAATATTTGTCTACCACAGTGATGCTGTGGCTCCCTGTGGCGGACATCAAGGCTCTCACCTATTATGTTCCTCTTCTATGGGAGGGAAACACACCTCCCATCATGCTGCTCTTCTATGCCCCAGCAGCACTGATTAGAGAATGGATTTTCCATTTAAAAATACACACACCCACGCGCGCGCATGCATTGCATATTAGAATTAGAGGGATTTCGGGAGGAATCGCTATACCCTATTTGTACAAGGTCAGCAATCTTTTATAAAAGTTATCAAAAGTTTATGTAGAGAGAGAACTGAAAACTGTGCCTCCATCTGTTATCTATATTGGGCACTGAGGTTGGATGGTAAGACTGTGGAACAGATTTAAAAAAATTGCAGGAAACAGATCATCTGGGTGTGGTAGTAGGTGTTTACACGAGATGATACTCAGTCTATCTTGCTTTTAATTTTGTATCTTAAAAAATAAAAACGTTATTTTTAGAATGTTACAGAGAAGCGACCCCCAACCTTTTTGACATTAGGGACCAGATTTGTGGAAACAATTTTTCCACGAAGGTTGGGGGGATGGTTTTTGGGTGAAACTGTTCCACCTCAGAGCATTAGGCATTAGATTCTCATAAGGAACACGCAACTTAGATCCCTCATATGAGCAGTTCACAATAGGATTCATGCTCCTATGAGAATCTAATGCCACCGCTCATCTGGCAGGAGGCAGAGCTCAGGCAGTCATGCTCTGTCACCCACCGCTCACCTCCTGCCATGCAGCCTAGTTTCTAATAGGCCATTGACAGGTACTGGTCTGCGGCCCCGGCGTTGGGGACCCCTGTTGTAGAGCATATAAAAACTGTGAAGAAAGTTTCATAACATATAAAGATTAGTGCTTGGGGTTTCTGATAGTGACAAAACAATTTTTTTTCGTTTGGAATTTAGGATATACTTCTTATCCTGTCCTTTCTCACCTCTTGCCCCCAACTCCAATGCATTTTCCTTACATAAATTAAAAGGGACCCTCAATTGGCATACAGTTCTAGGCTTAAAAAAATTAAAAGCTATATCCAGGCGCTTATTTCGATAGTTCCTGAGTCTTACTCTATTATTAACCTGCAGATTCTACGTACCCTTTAGGTCAGATATACTAAATCCCATTTATACATAATTCACTGCTGTACTTTAGGTCAAAAGTCAAGGAAAGATTAATAACAACCATCAACCATATTAATGCATGTTCTTGAAAAATGCAGTCTTAAAGAGCATATGAAATACCTTTAAGACTAACAGAGAAGAAACATGCAGCTTAAGAAAAAAATAGAGCAGATGTAAGTCCCACTACTATAAAATCAGCAACGCAATTTAGAAGAAAAGTCATTCCCACATTTGAAGTGCTAATGAATACTAATCTTTATTAGTGCTAATTTGGTTTTTGATTGTGTTATGTATACTTGTTTTTAATCTACTAGAATTAACCAGTATTAACTCCAGACAATGTAATTATAAGCCAAGTGACTTGGTTCATTTTGAACTTTTAAAAAATTATCTTTTTTTTCCAGCTAAACAGAACATTTTAGCTAGCAGAATTCAAAGACTAAATATTAGCCAGAAATTTTTTTAGCTTACGTGAAATCATTAGCAAAGGATAGTAAACAATGCACATATACATATACCTGTGTATGTATGTATATGTGTGCATATGTGTATATATGTGTATATATATACAGGTGTGTGTGTATATACACACACACACATACAGGTATATATATTATATACACACACATATACCGTACATATATACACACACATACACATAATGCAAATTAATGCATTATACCTGAGTTGTTTAAAGATGATTAGGTTGCACTTTTCCCCCCCACGACACTTTCTTAAGAAGTAGAGGAAATATCAGTGTTGAAAAGGAAATTGAAGTCAGAAAGAATCAATGCTGCCCAGAGCTTTTTTCCTCTACTGTCTTAGAAGGACATGTGCTCATAATAGAGGCTGTATGTGCTAGAAGTATCAATCAAAATATTGACTATAGAGATGGCCATAAGAGGTATTCTCCTGAAATTAAAATCATGTATCTTTTTGTTTTTTCTAGAAATGAGTTCATTATATGTTTTGATGAATCTCAAGCATATTAGAAATTATTTTATACCTTTTTTAAAAGTTTTCAGCAGTACTAACATAAAATACAATGATTGTTTTTAAATAAATTATTTTCTTGGCGGTAAGGCACCCAAAATATTTTCAGAGTTCAGCACTTTCAGGAAGAAAATGGTTAAATGTCAATATGTTACTTCATCTACAAAACTCTTTGTACAACTTACTCCACTTGATAATGGGCACTGATTATTTTCAGTACAACTATAAGACACTCTGTCAATGTTAAGATATTCTTGATGTTTTCGAAAAGTGTGCTTACATATACTTAAAGGATCATAGTGTATTTGAGCAGGGAGCAAATTCTATTTCTGGTGTGAGAGCCATAAAAATCAACTGTGGTTGTTCTTATTTCTTAGATTTGATTGCTATTCCTGACTTTGCATCTGGAGCCATGGAAAATTGGGGCCTCATTACATATAGGGAGACGTCACTGCTTTTTGACCCCAAGACCTCTTCTGCTTCTGATAAACTGTGGGTCACCAAAGTCATAGCCCATGAACTGGCACACCAGGTACTTGGCACTCAAGACATTATCTCGATATCAGTTCAAAATAACATTATATAGAACACCACCAATCTTTCTGAAACAAAATAAATCAACTCATTTACCTCTAGAGGGGAACTTAGAGATTACCAAACCTAATACAACATGTCAAGTAGCAGAGTACTCAGTCTCTGAACTGTGGTGTGCATGCTGGAATTTTATCACAAGAAGTAGCCATTTATCCTCTAAAACCTTTCAAAGCAAAGACTTCAAATGTCATTTGGGAAAAGAAGGGAAGTGACTATACAGACACATGAAGCACAGAATTGGAAACCTTACAAATAAAGATTTCTACTAAAAATATTTCTCCTTATATCCCCTGGTACTCTGACATTCCAATCTAGGGCAAAATCAATCTTCCTTCAGTTGGAACCTGTGCTTATATGGCCATAATGAAATACTTCAAGTGAAACTTGATGGGCTGATGATCCTGGGCATATTACCTAACTCTCTGAAGTTCAATGTCCCCATCTATAAAATGAAATTAATAACAGTTCTGTTTCATAAAGTTGTTGTGAGGATTATGGATAGGGAAAGTGTGCAGATCACATAGTAAGCACTCAACAAGTATTAGTTATTAATGATGATGACAATGGCCACTACATCTACAAGAAATACTACTGTTTCTTACGGAATAAGATATCTTAGGGCCATCTATCAACACTGTATTACCTACAAATGTGGAATTGTAAAGCTAGGTTTATAGAGATTGGAGACTACTCCCTCTTTCATTTCTGAAAACTCTCGGTAATGCAGTAAATTATTAAAGGCACCAAAATTATCTTTCACCAAGTGGGCAAATACCATTCCATTGTAGGATCTGGTAAAATCTGTTAGTTAAAACATTTTAACTTTATCCTTTATCATCACCACAATAATGACTTGTTCTTTAAACCAGTGAACTAAATACTCCATTACACAGAGAGCCATGCTCAGCACTGTGCTTCGAGAACACATGGGCTGTTTCCTCTGGTTCAGAATCTCCCCACTGGCTCATTTTAGGTATTTTGATCATGAGTCACCAGGAGCTCTAAAGCACTTAACTGAGTCTGGGGATTTCTCTCTTTCTGCCCATTGTTTGTAGGGAAGTGCTCTGTGAGCTCTACCTCTGAGGCTCCACGCTCCCTCTGGCCCTCCCTTTAATAGCTTCTCTTCCACGGAGATGCAGTCAAGTGCTGAAGCAGCAAACAGCACTGGAATTTTTGCCCCCATTTTTTTGTCTTCCCATTGATGATCATATTAACATGTCACTCTGTGCATAATCCTGGCAAGGATTCTCCAATGCCAACTGTCTTAGACTGGCATACAATGTCCCCATGACCCAGCTCCTTTTTACCTCTCCAGCCTCATCTCTTGCCTACACCTAAACTTTAGCCATCCAAGATTATCTGCCATTTTCTGAGCATGACAGGTTGTATCACTCTGCCTTTGCTCCTGCTACCTGATATTCAGCATACCTGAGTACTATTTGCAAGGCTCAGGAAATGAACACCGTCCTGGCAAAACTGTTTATTTCCTCCTAGAATCCCCTCTGTCCCTGGCAAAGACATTGATCTTAGCACCTGCTTTACTGTATTTATTTGCCTACTGGTTGACCTCCATCATTTGTATTGAGGCAGTGGCTATATTATATACATCTTTGTATTTCTAACATATGGCATGGTGCCAGGAATGCAGTAGTTTCTCCATAGGTATTTATTGAATGGATAAATAAACTAGTTTTACTAACTGGTGAAGTGACCAGAGTCAGTTTATCCTGTACTTCTTATATTCACCAGTTTTCAAATTGAGGAAACGCCTCTCCCTTTCCATGAATGCCCTTCAGAAAGTTGGTGCCCACTTGTAAAGTAATCTGAAGGCTATCAGAAAAGGCATAGTGCTTAAACGGTTTCTAGAAGCTACAGACTTATAATTTTCTGTTCTGTAACTATAACCAGACTCTTCTGAATCTTAGAATCTTACTGTTGAAGCTTTGGTCCTTCCAGAGATTGCAGTTTTAGAGACATACACTAGATGTACAGTATTAGGCATACAGACTAAATAAATAAAATATAAAAGCATATAAAAGAATAGTAATATTTAAAATGTATAATACAGATCAAATATAGGTAAAGGGTAAATATGTCGATTATCTTTATGCATCCTTTTTATTTTATTTGTATATATTTTAAATCTTAGACCTTTATTGTTTCTAGTGGCCCATGGAAGTAAGTCAGGGGCAGAGGCTAACAACAGAATTTACTCTTCAGTAATATTATATAACAATCTGAGAGCCCTAAATGAATTCTTATGATTCTCCTAAGTACCTGCTACTTAATATAAAAATATAACTTCACCCAGGACACTTGGGTTTGTATTTCTCCCTTGAACATCATCATATATCAAGGACAAGGTGAGATTGTTCTTATTGTGCAGGAAAAAAAAAAACTACCTCCACAAAGTGTTCCATTTTATTTCTTAATATTAAATCTAATCGCTAGGAAATGTTGGGCAGATAGAATGAAAGTCGAAGAGTTAAGAGCATTGAGAACATACAAAAAAAAGAAAAAAGAAAATCAAGCAAAAATGTGGTGGTGAGAATAAGAAGGCAAGAAAATCAGTAGAAGAAAACTGTACAAAGAGAAAAGGGTAGCAAAGGGAGAAGAGAGATCCTAAGTAATAAAAAAAGTTAGTAACTTTTTTTTTTGCTAAAGTTAATAACTTTTATTTGTTTAACTTCTAACAACATTGAGTTTTTACCTCCTAGTGGTTTGGCAACCTGGTCACCATGGAATGGTGGAATGATATTTGGCTTAATGAAGGTTTTGCAAATTACATGGAACTTATTGCTGTTAATGCTACATATCCAGAGCTGCAATTTGTAAGTTCACAATTCTGTGTGTCATACTATATGGTGTAAAGAATCATCAATTCACTGTTAAAATTTCAAGTTAATGTTAAAGAGAAAAACTACATAATGTTGTGGTTTTTGAACATACGGCATTTTGTTTGATACACGAAACAGATCACAGAACTGGAGGAAACATTGAAAGTTTTAGAAAACAATCAACATAAATCTGTCACCCCAAAGTTTGTAAACAGAGAAGACAAACTAATACAAATGTAGAGCTGTGTATGTGGGTTGTATACACTGTTTGTATACATCTGCACAGGAATGCCCACGGCTACTAGTTACTATACAGAGTTCTTGGCATGTAACCTGAAATCAACATTAAAGGGTCTGCTGGCTTCCCCAAAATGTGTGAAGGGATTTCTTCAGGCATGTCTTTTTTAAAAAACAAATATAGTGATCTGAACACTATACAAATTTGGATATCAAGGTGGTTAGTAATGGTTAATGAGGTCTTTAGGATCTATATTTAGTCCAGTACACTATAGACAGACATGGATTCAAACTTAGGCTCTTCTTGTTACGGTGTATGTACTGAATTTGTGGCTTAATGCCAAAGCTTTATATATTCTCATTTGTAACATGCTTATACTACATCTCCCTTGCAGAGGTGTTGACAGGATTGCAGACGATAGGTCTAGGCGCATAACAAGTATTCAGTAAATGGAAACCATTATTTTATTTCTGTATTGAAGGGCTGGTACATGGTAAACATTCAGGCAATGTCTGAAGGAATATTGGATTCGTATCTTTTTAAAGTAGAGAAACGGTGAAAGGGGAATACATAAATGAAAAGAAACATCTTCTAAGAAATATTGATTGAAATCTTACCTCTAAGAACATCTTACTAAACCTACTGTGTTTTCTATTGCTTTTACAGTGTCAAATAGAAACTAAAACTAAACATTTTTCTCCTTGTTTAGGATGACCATTTTTTGAATGTGTGTTTTGAAGTAATTACAAAAGATTCATTGAATTCATCCCACCCTATCTCCAAACCAGCAGAAACTCCGACTCAAATACAGGAAATGTTTGATGAAGTTTCCTATAACAAGGTAGTAAATATCACGTGCAGGTGGAAGCTCTGCTTTCAGAAGAAATGTAATAATGACTATAAAATCAACAGTTTAGGTCATTGGTGCCAGTTTTTGCTACTTGTTTCACTTTTTATTTGTTCATTTTTCAGACATCACACATGTTCCATAAAATTTAAGCTTCCTTTAAAAACATACCATACTACCCTTTTCTTTATCTCTTTTTTCAACTCTTTTGTTTTTTTTTTAAAGGGAGCTTGTATTTTGAATATGCTCAAGGATTTTCTGGGTGAGGAGAAATTCCAGAAAGGAATAATTCAGTACTTAAAGAAGTTCAGCTATAGAAATGCTAAGAATGATGATTTGTGGAGCAGTCTGTCAAATGTAAGTCATATGTTGGGTAACGGTAGACTGTTATTTAATCTAGAAAGCAACAGAATAATTGTGAATGTTTGTAGTTATATATTGTCAGTCAATCATATTTATTCTGCTTGCTAGGTTGTCATGGTCCATAGAAGGCAGCACTTCCCTTTTTCCTCTAACATCACAGTAGGATGTCATGCTGGAGTGGCCCCAGGGGCTCACTATTTGACCTGACTTTCTTTGGTTTCTCTTCTATGGCTAATCCTACATTTTTATGTTGCCTTGATCCAAAATCTTTAAAATGTTGTCATTTCTACTGTATAGCACCTAATCTCTGGCAAATTTTAAGGTTGTCAACCATATTCCCCAATGTATATTATTTGTTTAGCAAAACTAATCTTCTCCCTCATAAGAAGAAACCTTGCTCAATCCCTGGATCACTGTGCCTATATTTCTAGTGCCTTTACTAGCTGAAATGCCCTTTCTTCTTTCCAACAATTCAAATGCCACCCAACTTTCAAGATCCAGCTGAGATTTCACCTCCTCCTTACAGACTGTTCCAGCTCTCATTCGTTTGCCTGTCTGCTAAATTCTTAGAAGTGCACTTATAATCTGTTCCACATAATAGTACGCTCTTTTATTGTTTTTATTAGTTCAATAATGATAATGTGCTTAAGAACAAAAATTGTGTCTAGTCTTTTTTAAAAAATGTGATAGCACCTAGCATATGCTGATCCTATAATAGTGATTAACAAGTAGTTAATGATTGATTAAATAACTCATGTTCTCTTTGTCTTTGGGATTCATGTAGATCATAGGAAAGGCAAAGCAGAAAAATTCAGTTAATTCAGATGATTCTAATAATTATTAAAATATTTTAAAATTTCCAACTGCAAAGAAAATAATTTTTTATAGAACCATTAAACCCAGAGAACTCATACCTGTAATTAGAAGAACACTAAGTCATTGTAGACAGAAGAGATCCTTTCTTTTTTATAAGCACTTGTGTCCCAGGGACAGTAATAATACTGTTTAATATTTGTGCAGTAGTTTACAGTTTAAAAAGCACTTTCATGGCCGGATACAGTGGCTCACGCCTGTAATCCCAAGATTTTGGAAGGTTGAGGCGGGTAGATCACTTCAGGTCAGAAGTTTGAGACCAGCCTGGCCAATTTGTGGAACCCTGTCTCTACTAGAAATACAAACATTAGCTTGGCATGGTGGCGCTTGCCTGTAATCCCAGCTATTCGGGAGGCTAAGGCAGGAGAATCACTTGAACCCAGCAGCTGGAGGTTGCAGTAAGCCGAGATTACACCACTGCACTCCAGCCTGGGCGACAGAGCAAAACTCTGTCTTAATAATGATAATAATAATAATAATAATAACAACAATAATTAATAATAAATAAGAATCGAAGTTAAAGAGTAAAAAGCACTTTCATGTTCATTATCTCATTTGATATTTTTGTGCCTTTATAAAGCACTCTTATGGTCCAATTGATGTGTGATTTTGTGGTTAAAGAAACAAAATTCAACAATCAAAAATTATTTCACAGCTCTAATTTTTTACTTGCATTTCTTAAAAATCCTGAGGCATATTGAAATACATAGTTCTTACTTATAAAAATACTTATAAGCCAGGTGTGGTGGCTCATGCCTGTAATCCCAGCACTTTGGGAGGCCTAGGCGGGCAGATCATGGGGTCAGGAGATCGAGGCCATACTGGCCAACATGGTGAAATCCCATCTCTACTAAAATACAAAAAAAAAAAAAAAAAAAAAAAAAAAAATTAGCCAGGCATGGTGGCGCACCTGTAATCACAGCTGCTCGGGAGGCTGAGGCAGGAGGATCACTCGAACCCAGGAGGCGGAAGTTGCAATGAGCTGAGATCACACCACTGGACTCCAGCCTGGCGACAGAGTGAGACTCTGTCTCAAAACAAAACAAAACAAACAAACAAACAAAAAACATATAAAGATGCTTTTTATTATCCATTTCCATCACCCACCGTCAGTGGTCCAGACACTCTTTCTCCATGCTTCTGCTTAAGCTTCTCAACACCAAGTATTGTGTTGCTTCTCTCTCTCATCTCTCTCCATTTCCCTCTCCCTTGCTATGTGTGTGTGCATGTATGCATATTTGTAGACATCAGTTTAGCCCCTCTCCAACACGGAAGAATCTATCATTTGGTGTGCATGCTGGCAGTAGAGGGTGGGAGTTAGAAAGAAAATGTGGCCAGCAGTTACCAGATCATTTTAGTCCAGCAGTGTAGATTCCCGTGTTATTTTTTGTCACATCATGCTTATAATCATCTCAAGAGATAAAGTAATCATCATTACTCCATGTTTATAGGTGAGAAAACTGATACTAAGGGAGAGATTTGCCCAAAGTCACCAAGTCAGTGAGAAAATCAGTACTTAAAATTTGTCTTCTGACTCCAAGCCAATAGTTATTCTTTCAGTTGTATCACAGCTACTTCCTAGTTATAAGAAAAGTCCCCCATCAACCTTTCCCTAAAGGTCTTAGATTTTAACCAGCTCCCTTCTGACACCAGAGGGCCCTGTAGTATTAAAATAATAAATTACTGAAAATATCTTGCCTACCATTGTGTCACATAAAGTCAATTCTAATACATGCCAATAGCAACTTGAGAATGAGAAGACTTCTTTGCTGTTATTTTTCATAAGATCATTTAAAGGCATTTGAGAGCCTTAGCACATACTTCATTTTTTTCTCATTTGCAGTTGCCCTTAACTACTGGTTATTCAAGGTTGATTGCCAAGTTGGTACTTTTCTTAATTCTTATTTTATTCCCAGTTAGTTTGAAATATTGTACAGTCATCACATGCTGTTGTGATAGCCACTGTAGGAATACCCAGGTAAACAAAGGTGTTTCCACTACTGTCAAAGAACTTGCAATATGTCAGGGGAGAGTTAATAGTACTAGAGTTGCCTACATGCTAAATAGGGGCATGCATAACATGCATAATGAAATAATAAAATAAGACCTTTCTTAAGGGAAAGAGAAGAATTGGGATAGAAAATTCAACAAATTGATTCTTCCTTAGAACAGTTATTGACTTTTTTGAACTTTTTAAGGAAACTTTACACATGCATATATATAACACAAATAAATAACTTTTGTGAACGTCTATCCTAGGTCACTGCAAGCATGCCTCTTTTATCATTTTCATGTTCATCATGTCTGGATGAATTATTTCATACAGCTCTTTTAATAAATGCCTGCATCCATGGCTAATGTGCATGTTCAGCCAAGTAATGATGCCTACATGGCAGTGCTCTTTTGTTCTTGTTTTGTAGAGTTGTTTAGAAAGTGATTTTACATCTGGTGGAGTTTGTCATTCGGATCCCAAGATGACAAGTAACATGGTAAGGATAAAGAGAGTCAAAGAGTAGAAGAGATCTGTGGAATAGCCTGACCTGGAGTGAGTAGCCCACCTGTCCCTTTTAAACGCTGGAGAGAAAGAGTCCCCACAATTTTCTGTAAAACAAAACTGAAGGGGAAATGCTTGGGATATTTAGGGGGATGATGCTGTTGCTACTACATTTTTATTGTTATAGTTCAGCTTTTCCACAACCCCACTGCTAGCTAAAACTCAGCTCAAAATGTTTTTGAGTGGTTACTACTGCATTGGCATCCCTTAAGCTCTGAAAAATGCCAAAATAAGTATGCTGTTAGGTTTGGAAATACAGTATATGTTTTTCTTTTTCCTTCTGGAAAGTTATAGAATCACTACAGGAAAGAGAAAAGAAAGTCAGTCATCACAGGGGAAAAAAGGAAAACTTTTTATTTAAAAAAAGAGTCATGTTAATCCTCCTTTTTTTTCTTTTTTTTTTTGACAAAGCCTTGCTCTGTTGCCCAGGCTGGAGTGTAGTGGCACGATCTCGGCTCACTGAAACCTCCACCTCTCTGGTTCAAGCAATTCCTCTGCCTCAGCCTCCCGAGTAGCTGGGGTTACAGGTGCACACCACCACGCCTGGCTAATTTTTTTGTATTTTTAGTAGAGACAGGGTTTCACCATGTTGGCCAGACTGACCTCATGCAATTCGCCCACCTCAGCCTCCCAACATGCTGGGATCACAGGCGTGAGCCACCGCACCCAGCCCTAAATTGTGTTTTCTAAAGGAAGATTCAGCATTATCCAGTGATCAGAAACCCATCCTAGAAGCGCAGCAGCCAGAGGTTTTGTTCTCCATTCACTATACCTCTATTGATATAAAATTGTTCTGTTGAAATATTTAAAGCTTCCCTAAAGACAGATATTTCCCTCTTATACCACTCCTCTTGGATTTTACTGTTATTAGAGGGTTTTTGTTTGTTTGTTTGATTTTGTTTGTTTGTTTTTGAAAGGGGGCAGGAAAGAGACTCCAGTCTCAACTCCCTTTTCACTGGCTTTTCCTGCCATATATTAACCCTACGAAATCCTGTGTATATCCCTCAATTCAAGTAATTGTCAGAGAGCAGCCCTGGGATAGCCATCCCTCATCCAGTTGCCTGGATTGCCCTTCCCTGAGATAGCAGCCCGAGTCTTCTGTTCCCCAAGCCTTATTTCTGGCATCCAAGGAGATGGAAGTTTCTGTCCCTCTGTCTTTGGGTTGTCTCCTCTCTCTTGAGTTATCATAGTCATCTGTCATTTCAGCTCACCTTTCTGGGGGAAAATGCAGAGGTCAAAGAGATGATGACTACGTGGACTCTCCAGAAAGGAATCCCCCTGCTGGTGGTTAAACAAGACGGACATTCACTCCAACTACAACAGGAGCGCTTCCTCCAGGGGGTTTTCCAGGAGGACCCTGAATGGAGGGCCCTGCAGGAGAGGTGGCTGCTTTTCTTCTTTAGGTCTAGCTTATCTCATCTTAGTTTCCTCATCATTTCCCTAGCTTTCTCTCAGCTCCTCTGGCAACTTTGTAGGAGGCTAGTTCCATATAGGAATCGAAGGCCTAAAGTAGACTTGATAAGATTTAAAGAGCTTCATATGACCCAGACTTCTTTGTTCAGCAGCACCATTCTTAGTGATTCCATCAGCCTTGAGAACCCCAGTTCTAATGCCAATGGTGGTTAGTTAAACTTATGTCATAATGCACTGACTTCTGGGCCCTAATAAGCTTTGTGACTGGCCTATACCTAGGAAGTATGACAACAATGCTTCTTATCATCAGAGAAAAGATATCCCCTATGTGATAAATTAGATGCTAAGATCTCCTGTTGCCTTTCATTTTTCAGTAATAAACTATAATGTCTTAAAACATATGATGTTATGAGTAATAGTAAAAGCAAATCCAATTAAACACACTGTCATCTTGTTCACCAGCCCATCCTGAAAAAAACCTAGTAAAGACTACTGAAATCAAGTAACACACTGTAAACATTTCTCTGAACTATTGCTACTAACCATGGGTTCTTGGGCCGTCAATGCAATAGAAATTGACAAAGAGGCCAAAAGAGTTTTCCCAGAGAAGGCTTCATTTGAGCTTATGCCCAGACATAATGGAGGCAGAGAGAGAGAGAGACAGAGAGAGAGAATTCCTTGACTGGCATTTTAAAAAGAGCTGGTAGAACCTTTTCATTAGGCAAAAGAATAGGTATCAGGGGTAGGGTATGCAGGTTGGACTGGTTAAAGCACATAAAGGATAAGGTAGGCAGATAAGCCTTACCTGGTTGCTACAATTACCTTGAGTAATGGGCTACCTGGTAGTCTGGCCAGAAGCAACAAGGCTGTAAATCAGTTGGTCAGCATTCCTTCCCTAAGTAGGACACTCCATGACCTTGGTTATCTCCTAAGGCCAGCTTCTGGAATTAAAAGGAATGGTTCAAACATTAAATTAAGAGGCATGATTCAAACATTATGGCATCAGTGAGGTAGTGGTGTAGGTTTTGTGATCACTGGGGATACAGGAAAGAATGCTCTAGTGGGAGTGCATTGAAGCTAAGCCCCCTTCCTACTCTGTCTCACTATTAGCTCTGTTAATAAGACGAATGAGGTTAATTTAAATTGAAATAATCCAGGTGAACCTTTTCTGGTTCTTATGATGATAATTTTGTTTTCTAAGAACTGAGCTGTCAATGCTAGAATTTTTCTGGAAATCAGAAACAATTAGAGATCTTTGACATATAAAATTACTGGGGCTGGTTTGTTTAATCAGTTACACATTTCCAATCCAGTGGAACCAACTCTTATGCCACTTCTTATGTATGCATCCTTCTATTTTTTCTGTGTGTTGTTCTGAGGTCTGAACTTCAGAGAGCTTACACAAGTTGCAGCTTGGTAAACAGGGCTGAATAATTTAATGTCTGCTTCATTATTGGGAAAGCAGGACTCACAATTTTGTAACTTATCAAAGTGTGATGAGAGAGTTCAAAACTGTGGATGACCCAGAATAACAAAGATCCACTACAATAATCTGTATTTTTCCTCCTTCTGGGGCAGTATTTAGACAATTCTTGTAAAATGATGGCCCGCTAATTCATGGCTATCCAAACTCATGAAGTGCTACTCTCCCTCTCTCTAGCCCCAGATGTGTTTATTTGGAAAAATCCCTTCTCTTCTGGAGCCAAGCTGCACTGACGGATCCCAATCAATTAAGTCTTAGAAATTCATCTATGTGGAGTTTTTTTTAATCTTTTTTTTTTTTTTTGAGACAAATTCTCACTCTGTTGCCCAAGCTGGAGTGTGGTACAATTTTGGCTCATTACAATCTTGGCCTCCTGGGTTGAAGCAGTTCTCCTGTCTTAGCTTCTCAAGTAGCCAGAATTACAGAGGCACGTACCACCATGCTTGGCTAATTTTGTTGTTGTTGTTGTTGTTGTTGTTGTTGTTGTTTTGTAGAGACGGGGTTTCACCATGTTGGTCAGGTTGGTCTCGAACTCCTGGCCTCAAGTGATCTGCCTGCCTCAGCCTCCCAAAGTGCTGAGATTACAGGCGTGAGCCACCGCGCCTGGCCTTTTTTACCTTTTTGTGTAAGGATCTCAGTTACTCTTCTGTCTGCTTTACACCTGCTGGTGTTATCAAGCACATGATTTTACATGTGCAGGACTATTATAGCTAACATGACTTGATTTAATAGAGGAAATGAATTCTAGAGGCTGCTAGAAAGTTAATCAGAAAAAGATAGCCAATTTCTCTTCTTTACTACAGCAGGGCCATTGAAAAGTAACTGGGAACTTTTCCTCTAATCCATTCTGCTTTTCTGCTCTCTGCACTTAGCTCTCCTACAAATCCTGAGCTGTAGTATTGTTGACTATTTATTTGCAGTCATTCAGCAGTTGAGAGGTTGGATGTGAGTAGTACTGTTGAACAAAAGCATAAGTAGAAAATCATACTGGAGTAAGTTATTTACCTCTTAAGGGCTTTCCCTACAGCTTTGGTTTAGTTATTTGAATCAGCATCAGGCTGGCAGTTTTTGAAACTGTGAAAGGAATATTGGATTTTCTTTCTCATACAAACAGCAGAATTTGTTATGATATGAAATTAGGACAGCAAATGACACAATTATTTGTGGCAGAATTCAACTAGGTAGATATGGCTGCTGCTTTATAATTATCATGGAATAATTTTTTGCATACTTAAGGATATGCTAGTCTTAGCCTATAAAATTTATAGGACCACTGTGGGTATGAAGGATGATGGATACTTAGGTGCCTTTTACAGTCTGTCCGAGTCTGACAATGTGAAAAATCACAGCAGTATTCTTTTGGTGTGTAACTGTCTTTACTCCCTGTCATAGGTACCTGTGGCATATCCCGTTGACCTACTCCACGAGTTCCTCTAATGTGATCCACAGACACATTCTAAAATCAAAGACAGGTAATGAACTAATTAGCCAAACAGGTCTTTCAATGTTGAAATTAAACATGTGTTGAGCTATTTGAAGGAAAGATACAATAAGTAAATCTAATAATAAAAGATTTATATTTGAGGGAAATTTTCATTTATCCATATGTTACTAAAATAACTCTTTTAGAAAGAAAATCTGGATTTTTCATTCAGTGGGAAGTTCTCTTGTGCTTTTATCATTTAGAGATAGATTATTTACATCAAGAAATAACAGAAATTCATCTTATGTCTTATAATACACACTAATCTATTTTTATAGGTTATGGATGAGGCAAAAAATGTTCAGTAGAGAAAAGCATACACTTTAAAATTGATTGCTTCTGGATTCAAATCCTCACTCTCTCACTTACTAGATGTGTGACCTTAAGAAAATTTACAAACTCATCCTGAGCTTCAATTTTTTCATCTTATGTTGAATAAGGACTAAACCTCACAAAGTTGTTGAGAGAATATTATAATGTAATTTTACTCTCTAGTATAATATATGCCGTATTAAAAATACATAGTATAATTTTAATTTTCCTCTAAACACTTTAATACAATTTGAGAGGTTTTCCATCACAAAGTCATGCTTAACCTGGAGTCCTTCTTTTACTAAAATGAACAAATGGATCACCTATTTACACATACATATTTCAATGACTAGTGACTAAACCTTGAGACAAGGATATCATCAAATTAAGCCAAATTCCCATCATGCTAGTTATCTGGCTCACTGGGCCCTTGCATGCCTCTTAGACCTGCATAGATAATTTTTTAGAACAAATTCAGCAGTCTTATTCCTATGAATCAACTTATTTATTAATTTAATGAGACCATCTTCCCAAAAGAAATCATCCAGTGAACTATGAAAATGACTATCATTATGACTCTCCCCAAACTTCATCTTCCCATTGATTTATAAGTAATTGGATTAAAACTAACAGTTGTGGAGATGTTCTGAATGAGTATGTTACTAATAAAATGCCTATGCCAATTTTATCCTCTTAGATACTCTGGATTTACCTGAAAAGACCAGTTGGGTGAAATTTAATGTGGACTCAAATGGTTACTACATTGTTCACTATGAGGGTCATGGATGGGACCAACTCATCACACAGCTGAATCAGAACCACACACTTCTCAGACCTAAGGACAGAATAGGTCTGATTCATGATGTGTTTCAGCTAGTTGGGTAAGGCAACATTTCCTCTGACTTCATGGGAAATAACTGATCCATAACCAGATATGCTAGACTTCAATACTGAATGTTCAGCATTGGTCATTCATTTGATATGGATTGGAATGGAATTCAAACAGTAACACTAGTCCAAAGGCTACCCACTAATAACATATTTTGACCCACACTGTGTTTATAAATGTAATCCAATATTTTAAAATGTGGAGAACCTTACCTAAAAATCCTGACCCCTGGAATCTTTTAAAAATGATATCTGGCAACTGTGGGTCTTTATCCTGTGGGCCACAGGATAGCTATAAAGGAGAGTGCAGTGGGCCAAACTCCCTTTATGCCAGGCCTACTTTCTCCCAAGCACCAATATCCCAAATGACCTGTTTCATTCACTTAGTGTGGACTCTCTAAGTATTTGAGCTTTTGACCTCACATTTAAAATGTATTTATGATAGTAGCTGCTACACCAAATACCTGTGTAATCTCTTAAATAAAAAGTACAAATATAGGCTTAATCTTTACAATTTTAAATGGGTTGTTATGAAATCTAATCATTACTTACACTGGAGAAATTAGTATGAAGTTTGTAGGGAAATGAAGTAATAATTGGCTCTTTGCATTTATTCCTCTCTAGACTTTCCTGGAAGGTCAAAATGTTTTCTTTCCTTTTCTATGTATCATCAACAGAATAATGTGTAGAATGAATTGGGTCACAAGATCACCAATGGGTGGAGGGAATTGAGGACCAGGAAGTATATTGTGCATTGTAAGCTTTCTCTATTCTGAGAATTACTGTGATGTACTCACTTTACTCAACGTGGCATAAAATTTTCTTTCGGAAGCTTGTTTAGGTCAAATTGAGTGACAGTGACCAGCAAGACATCTCTGAAACAAAGTTTCTTGGTACACTAGAATCTTTCAGTTAGAAAGAAAAGAGAAAGTGAGGCTTAATCCTCAGTCCCATGGGTCTCAGGAACATCTTGGAGGCACAGCTCATTGGAAGCCAAAATTAGGAAAAACACCATCCTACATAGGAGTGAATGCATGAAAGGTGCGCTAAGAAGCAGGCTATTGCTAGCTGAAGGAGGCTTGGCTGCTCAAAGGAGGAAGCTCTGAGCAGACTGAAGAGAAGATAGATTAACAACGCAAGACTAGGAAAAAAATGGAGAATATTGACAACTCAGCAAATTAATCTTTTAGGTAGTTGTGAAGTCTTTTTTGCTGTTTCTAGCCTATACACTTAAGATTGTCTAAATTTAGCAGGAGGAAATGTGCAGTTATTGATGCATTGGTGGAAAACCAATCATCTTTTCTTCACTAAGTAAACAGATTAATGAAGTTAAGAATACAAATTTTATATGAGAACAGAAGATTTCAAGTGCTATGCCTTCACTTACTAATTTTTTGAACTTGGGCAAGTTTTTTTTTTTAACCTTTTTAAGCCTAAATTTTCCAGGCTTTAAAACTTTATTACTAATAATATCCGACATACAGGGTTTGGAGGATTGCACAGGTAATGAAGATAAAGCAGTAAGTACAGTACTTACTCAATAAATGTCAGCTGTTAACATTATTAGTATTATCTAATACAAATTATTTGAAATGTCATGAGATGAATAGGAAGAGGAGGTGACAACATAGAAAAGTACATTTCAAATAATGTGAAGTTGGGAAAAAGGCAGAATGTAAGTTTGTGTATTATTATGTTTGTTTGCAACTACATATGAAAAAATAAGTGCGAAGGGGAAAAAGAAACCTGAAGGAATTATTTTAAAATGCTATTGGTGAGTGTGTAGGGTATTGAAATTATGAGTCTTCTCTAATTTCTGGTTGTTTTGTCATTATGAGTCTAATTTCCAGTTGTTCTGTAATTTGTTTATATTTACTTATATTACTTTTATAACAAAGAGCAATTGTATAAGAAAACAATTTAAAGCTCTCATAATAGATAAAGATAAATAAAATATTTTTACTTGATGTTCTTTCTCAATACTATAAACCACTTTCCTCCATGCTTTATGAAACTTCTATTAAAGAATTGAGGCCTGGCATGGTGGCTCACACCTGTAACCCCAGCATTTTAGGAGGTTGAAGTAGGCAGATCACTTGAAGCCAGGAGTCTGAGACCAGCTTGGGCAACATGGTGAAACCCCGTCTCTACTAAAAATACAAAAATTAGCCCAGTGTGGTGGTGTACGCCTGTAATCCCAGCTACTCAGGTGGCTGAGGCACATGAATCGTATGAACCCAGATCATGCCACTGAACTCCAGCCTGAGTGACCGAATGATACTCTGTCTCAAAAAACAAACAAACAAAGAAAGAATTAAAGGAAACAATAGTGATCATATTTAGTTTGGAGACAGAATTTTTTCTTTTTAATTAAATTTATTTATTTATTTATTTATTTATTTATTTTTGTAGTGACAGGATCTCCCTATATTGTTCAGGCTGATATTGAATTCCTGGCCTCAAGCACTTCTCCTGCTCAGCCTCCGAAATTGCTGAGTTTACAGGCATGAGCCACCACACCCAGTGTAAATCAATCTTTACAAGAGGTGATACTATTTAGTTCTTAATGCACAAGACATCGTTATCCAAGGGCTTGCTCCAGAGCCATTCTCCTAACCACGACACAACACTGTCTCCTTTTTTTTTCCCTTCTCCTTCCTTCCCCTCCTTCTCCTTCCCGCTCCTTCTCCTTCTCCTTCTCCTCCTCCTTCTCCTTCCTTTTATGAGGGTCTTGCTCTATTACTCAGACTGGAGTGCAGTGGTGTGATCATGGCTCACTGCAGCCTCAACATCCTGGGCTCAAGTGATCCTCCCACCTCAGCTTCCTGAGTACCTGGGACTACAGGCACACACCACCACGCCCAACCAATTTTTAAATTTTTTGACAGAGATGGGGTCTGCCTATGCTGCCCAGGCTGGTCTCAAACTTCTGGGCTCAAGCAATCATCCTGCCTCAGCTTCCCCAATTGCTGGGATTACAGGTATGAGCAACTGCACCCAGCATGAAGAGAGAATTTGATGCAAGAGTTGATATTTATTTTAGTTAGGTTTTCATACATTTTAAATGTAATTTAAAGACATGGGTCTTGTATAAGTTGAGTGGAATTGAAATGACAACTTCAATTTGCCTATAGAAAAAGCTATATTTGTTTCTTTTAGTCCCACACCTTAAAAAGAAACCCCCAGATTGAGCTTGGTGACTGACTCCTGTAATCCCAGCACTTTGTGAGGCCGAGGCAGGCAGATCACCTGAGGTCAGGAATTCAAGACCAGCCTGGCCAACATGTTGAAACTCCATCTCTACTAAAATCATAAAAATTAGCCAAGCATGGTGGTGGACGCCTGTAATCCCAGCTACTTGGGAGGCTGAGGCAGGAGAATCGCTTGAACCCAGGAGGCAGAGGTTGCAGCGAGCCAAGATTGTGCCATTGCACTCCAGCCTGGGCAACAGAAGCGAAACTCCGTTTCAAACAAACAAAAAAAAAGCCTAAATTGGTGCTTCAAGACTATGATGTTATTTCTCAAAGGTACAATCCAGCTGAAATTATATACAAGTAAGTAGGTATAGATTTTTACTGTTGGGCTAAAGTTTATGTTTATCTATTTTTATTCTTTAAGCTAAACAAACATTCAGAAAATATTCTATGCATTTTTTGAAGCATAGGGTGAGTAATGAGGACTTAGATTTTTTATTAACCAATTTAGTAACTATATAAAAAGAAAAGGAGTTGCTTATGAATAAATATTAAAATTAAAAGAAATAGGCAACTATAAAAGTAAGTATTTTTAATAATAGCCTTGATTTTAGTAAGAAATCAATTAGGCTGGGCTGAAAAGAAAAACTGGCTTAATGTAAAGTAGTTTTAATATGTCAAATATTCTTTTTAAACTCATGACCCTGGAATATCATTTCCGCCTATTTCTGATGCTAAGGTATCAACTGTGCCAGGTATTGTGCTACTCACACAGGTGGGAAGGAGTAGTAACATTTTGTGGATTTTTTTTTTTTTTTAAATACTGCAGACTAGCTGGGCGGGGTTGGCTTAGCACTGTAATCCCAGCACTTTGGGAGGCTGAGGCGGGTGGATCACCTGAGGGCAGGAGTTCAAGACCAGCCTGGCCAACATGGTGAAACCCCGTCTCTACTAATAATTACAAATCAGCCAGGCATGGTGGCACATGGCTGTAATCCCAGCTACTCAGGAGGCTGAGGCAGGAAAATCGCTTGAACTCAGGAGGCAGAGGTTGCAGTGAGCTGAGATTATGCCGTTGCACTGCAGCCTGGGTGACAAGAGCAAAACTCTGTCTCCAAAAAAAAAAAAAAAATACGGTAGACCACAGAATCATGGAGAATATGGTCCAGCCTTCTGTCTTCAGGTGAAATTTTTGAAAAAAATTTCCATAAGGCTATTTTAAAGCAGTAAGTCATCATGATTGAGAAGATTAAAGGGACAACAAAGGTTGGTTCTTTTTCATTTCCTTCTGGTCTCTTTTCCCTCTTTTTAGACAGGAATTTAAAAAAATTATAAGCCCAGCGAAGGTAGAGCATTATGTTAATGATTAGCTCGGAAAAATATCCTTTGTTCTGGAATCAGTTTCCACATTACATGATTGTGTTAGTCTGGGAGTTAGGTGCTCACAAGAATGGCTTATAGACCCTGTGTGTGCACATAGCCTCCCAGAAACACACGTGAGAAGCACTTTCCAACAGTGAGGTTATAATGGTTTGTTACCTCTACAGAAGATGCGCCAGCATTTTGGTACTTAGAATAATAAACATGTTGTTTATTCTTCTCATTAAAAGAAAACATAGAGAAGGCATGTAACTTTAGAACCTAAAAAGTGAAAATACTTCTTTTGCCCTATTCACAGTGATTATCACTTCTCTGGTGGGATTAAGGACAAACATCAAAGAAAAACAAGACACGGCACCTGTCCTCAAAGTTTCCAATGTACTTGGAGAAACAAGTCAAACCCACACATGAAGCAATTAGAGAATGATATCATATGTAAAAAGTTTGATATTATTTGGTACTAAAATGTTAATATTGGCTAATATTTATTTCATTTATTAACCTTTTGCTATGTGGTAGACACTATTCTAAATGCATTTGAAAATATTAGCTCATTAATCCTCACAACAAATTTATGACGAAGACAATATTATTATCCCCATTGTACAAAGGCAGTAGGTCCAGAGAGGTTCGGTAATTTGTCCAAGATTACCCAGCTAGTCAGTGGCAGAGCTAAGATTTAAACTGAATGGTCCACCTATAATGACCTACTTCTGTTATTGTTCTCTATTTCATATTTGTTTTAATGTTAAAAATATTAAAAACTATAAGATACACACAAACCACCATTTTTTTTTATACCTCAGTGCAGGGAGACTGACCCTAGACAAAGCTCTTGACATGACTCACTACCTCCAACATGAAACAAGCAGCCCCGCACTTCTCAAAGGTCTGAGTTACTTGGAATTGTTTTACCACATGATGGACAGAAGGAATATTTCAGATATCTCTGAAAACCTCAAGGTTTGTGTTGCTTTTAGAAAATGTATTAAGTAAATACACGGTGTCTGGAGTATCAGTGAGGCTCAGTTTGTTTTGTCTGAAGTCCTTGAGGTTAAATCTGGAGCAGCTCAGGAGACTGACTGATAGCATTTAATGGTCAATGACCCTCGTTCTTTATCATTGCCAATCCTAAGAGCTAGATAACCAGGATCACGTGCAAAGCATCTCTACTAAAGGTGATTTTATTTTATATCCATTGATATTCCCCTTTCAGATAGGAAATTAAACCATGTTTTAATGCAAAAACTGTTTCCTAACTGTGGTGGGTAGGAGCCAGAAAAAGATAAGAGAAATACAAAGATACACTGTTTGGGGAAAGATTGGGAAATATGCAGAAAGTTTAGAGTTGAGCCCTTTAGATGGGCAAGAGCTGTGTTAAGGACTAAATTTAGCCTCTCTGTTAACCATCTCATATTTTCTACAGCGTTACCTTCTTCAGTATTTTAAGCCAGTGATTGACAGGCAAAGCTGGAGTGACGAGGGCTCAGTCTGGGACAGGATGCTCCGCTCGGCTCTCTTGAAGCTGGCCTGTGACCTGAACCATGCTCCTTGTATCCAGAAAGCTGCTGAACTCTTCTCTCAGTGGATGGAATCCAGTGGAAAATTAAAGTAGATATAGACTTCTGTCCTACTCTTTGTTCTTTTCTCTTTGATGTAAAAGTCTTTGATCAAGCAAGACATTAGATCTAAAACCTTTTAGTGAGGATAGAAAAAAAAAAACATGCTGGGAATTACAAACCCTGTTTCATGCTCTCACACTGTAAGTGCTATGTATGGCGACTAGTGCAATCTCTACCATGAAATGTAATGGTGTCCATTATTCCTGTGCTGGCAGGGTGCAGTGGCCCATGCCTATAATCCCAGCACTTTGAGAGGCCGAGGAGGGTGAATCACTGAGGTCAGGAGTTCAAGACCAACCTGGCCAACATAGTGAAACCCTGTCTGTACTAAAAATGCAAAAATTAGCCAAGTATGGTGGTGCACGCTTGTAATCCCAGTTACCTGGGACGCTGAGGTGGGAGAATTGCTTGAACCTGGGAAGCAGAGGTTGCTGTGAGCCGAGATCACTTCACTGCACTCCAGTCTGGGCAACACAGAAAGGCTCTGTCTCAAAAAAAAAGAAAAATTTCTTGTGCCAAATTGTTATAAGATGCTATCATAACTTCTCTCTCTATAACTAAATCTTAGTGAGCTTTTTGAAATCCTTTCTTGAATTCTTCCTTTTAAAAAAGTAATTCAAGTTTTCTTCTTTTTGGACTTTTTTACTTGTTGGGATTCAAGCCTAAAATCTGTTTTACCAAAAAAAAAAAAAAAAAAAAAAAAAAAAACCTAAAAAAAAAGACTCCGTCTCAAAAAAAAAAAAAAAAAAAAAAAGAAAACCTTAAAAAAAACCTTTTAAATCTATTATTCTCTTCTTTTTGTTTCTGTTTGAATGGGTTGTATGAGTGAAGCTAAACTGCAAACATCCTGCTGCCCTATACAAAATAGAATACTGTTATTTCATCTTTATGCTGGTTATAAGAAGGATAATCTTAACCTGCAGTAACCCACCTACAGTAGATATAAATGTTCAACATGTTGAATATACCTATGAAAATATTCTAGGTAAACTTACTTATGCTCATAAACAAAAATATGTAATTAAATATTGTTGGTTTTTTCTAAACTCCAAGATTGCTAGTATGACTTTTAATGAAGAATTTCCTTACATAGATGAATTGATTACTTCATTCATTTGTGGATTTGAAATGTAACTAGTTGCACATTTCCTTTATGCCAGCCAGGTATTGCTGTAGGAGCTAAGGATAAAGTGGTGAACAAAACAACCATGCGGCCTACCTTCAAGAAGCTTACAGTGTGTCTGTTACTAACTGTTATAAATTTGTTCAGCAAAATACACTAAAGTGAAAACAATATGTAATAAAATTTAATTATTTGATCTTCATTATATTATTCAATGTCACTTGGAATATTTAAGTACATATAGTATAGCGGAAGTAGCACAAGTATTAGAATCATAGGTTTAAATCCCATCTGCAAAATCGCAAATTATGTCATCTTGTGCAAGTTACTTAACTTTTCTGAGATTTATTTCCACTTTAAAAAAATCAGGATAATAGCTATCTCAGAGGGTAGCTTTTGACAGTTAAATAAGATGTATGGAGGCTAGTACAATCTCTACTACATGGTCACTTCATGTCAAATGCAAGTTTCTGGCTTCACAAATCCAAGTTTCTAGCTCCCTCCTCAATGCTCTGTGTTGTGTTTTTTCTGAGACATCGATAACAGTTCTTGTTGATCCATTGACATTTGGGATTAAAAAGTCATATGCCCATTTAGAATAAAACCTGGTTAATGTCCTCAAGATAATAAAAATCAAAATAGTGGTGTCTTTTGTAGAAGGACAGAAAATCATGTCACTGCATCTTATCAGTTTCAAAAAATTACAAAATAACTAGACACTAATGACTTGTACTAAATTAAGATTCTCTAGGCCTAGAGAGTCAGATGACTCCTGGACAGGCCTCAGAAAATGCTCTCAACTAGGCCAAGTGCAGTGGCTCATGCCTGTAAGGCCAAGGGGTGAGAAGATCACTTGAGCCCAGGAATTCGAGACCAGCCTTGTCAACACAGTGAGAGCCCGTCTCTACAAAAAAATTTAAAAATTAGCCAGGTATGGTACTATGTGCCTATAATATCAGCTGTTCAGGAGGCTGAGGCAAGAGGGTTGTGCAGGAGGCTGAGGCTACAGGGAGCCATGATCACGCCACTGCACTCCAACCTGAACAACAGAGTAAGACCCCGTTTCAAAAAAAAAGAAAAAGAAAAGAAAAAAATGCCCTCAACTTGGTGATGAAAAAGCATCAAGTAATCATCTTTTAAAAAAATTCTTATAGCACCAATAGTGGTTACTACATAGTAGAATTTATATAAACCAGTAGTTTTGTATTTCAGAAAGCTTTTATATTTGTTGACTACATCAACTTTCTATTTTCACCACAGAGTGGTTAAAATTTTATGCTTATTTTCTTGCTAACATTTTATCATCAGTAGGAGATAAAACACAGATTTGCAGAGTAAAAGCACATAAAATATTTTTATAGAGTTTGGCAGAGAAAAAGATTTAATACATTGAGTACTGAAAACAATTCAGAGATTATTCTGTTATGGGACTTAAAATTGTCATAAGAAAAAAGAGTTTTTCTTTCATAAAACTTTTTCTTCATTTTTGTGCTTGATATTACAGTATACCAACAGATGTTTTAAAGATTGTGTATTCTGTGGGTGCTCAGACGACAACAGGATGGAATTACCTTCTAGAGCTATATGAACTGTCAATGTCAAGTGCTGAAAAAAACAAAATTCTGTATGCTTTGTCAACGAGCAAGCATCAGGAAAAATTACAGAAGTAAGTTCAGTAATTTAACTAAATGGTTATAAGTAAACTGACAGAAATTCAATGAAGTCACTAAAACTTCAGCCACCAGTTTTAAAGGCATAAGATAATTGAATCAGAATGTGTATGGCTTTAACTTTGCTTTCAGAAAAGAATATATTGACAAAATACAAATAGTGAAAATAGGTATTCCCTAGTTATTAATCATATGATTGATACTAGACAAGTGGTTATATTTTATCTTCAGAACCTTGAAGGAAAGTTATTGTTGTAAAAGTACACTCTTGCATATAAGATGTATAAACAATGCTAATCAAAGTTCTTTGAAATAGTAAGTAAACGTTTTTGCTAGGAACAAAATAAAAATTATTTCTAAAAAAGGTAAAAGTTTAATTGGAACATTAAAAAATTGGTAATTATACTTTTATCATCCCTCTTTCTGTTCTATTCCTTTAATATATTGGTAACTTAAGTTAATGTCCATGTACAAAATAACTACTATTTAGAAACAAATTATTTTTCTTTCTTCAGGTTAATTGAACTAGGAATGGAAGGAAAGGTTATCAAGACACAGGACTTGGCAGCTCTCCTTCATGCAATTGCCAGACGTCCAAAGGGGCAGCAACTAGCGTGGGATTTTGTAAGAGAAAATTGGACCCATCTTCTGAAAAAGTTGGTATTCGTTTATATCCAATGTGTGTTCTTCCATGCAGATGTCTCAGTTGCCTCAAACCAAATGGAATCGAATGTTTCTCAAAGTATATAAATGATACCACTTGTATCTAAATAGTTCAGTGGAGTCAACTTTGAAACTCCCTAGCCCAAATTATCCTATCCAGGGGTAAGGGAGAGGCGTGAGTATAAGGGAATGGGAAACAGCCTTCTCTCATTCAGTACAGGCAAGAAAGCACTGGGAGCAAGTCTGAGTTAAATTAAATGCAGTCATCAGCCCCCTCCTACCATTCCTTCTTGGCTGTCTCCTCAGCCCAGAAGAATCCCAAGATGCCTTGTATAGTGCATCATACATATGTGGCCTCGTTTGTTAATACAGTTTTGTACTGGGGGAAAGCCTCAGGAATTTTGGTAAGAACTACTCCTCACCCCGAGAGCCCCTGTGGAGGTGGCACAGTGGAGACCTTGGTTCAGGTGAAAGAAACCCAGTCAGGAGTGTTTGGGGAGCCCTCCCTCCAAATTGTTTTGGTTCTGAGTCTTTTCTGTGGTTTCAACTTTGGGGAGAACTGGAGCTCATTTCAATATGTTCCTGGGTCTAAAATATCCCTCAGAAATAACCAATAACGATTAGATTTTGTTGGAATGGAATGTATAAGACAGCATTGGTTTCTCTCTCTCTCTCTCTCTCTCTCTCTCTCTCTCTCTCTCTCTCACATACACACACACACACACACACACACACATCACAAAACCCTGTAAGGCATTCAGCCATTCTCCATCCAAATTTAAAATGTCATTTATGACTTATATGGAAATATGTTGAATCAGAGAGATATGATTTGCTTCGTTTATGTCAGGGTGAGTTAGCATCCCCGATGCCATTAATTCCTAGTTCCTTCTCTTTCATGTCATAGCCATGGAAGGTTTAGAGTCCTCAGACAGCTTTGCATAAGCAAAAAGCACATTTCCACTTCTCTCCCAAATGCTCAAGGAGTTGACAGCCACATGAGACCAAATAGAAACTGCTTTAATATGTGTGTGTGTGTGTATGTTTCCTTTAAAACTCTACTTGAGCCATTGATTTGTCTGTTTGCATGATTGTCATTTTCCTCCTGAAATGATCAGACTTTTTCTACAATGCTGTGGATTTCATTTTAAATAGGAAATGATGTCCCTGCCCAATCATGTGCAGAGCCCAGACTTGGAACCATATTTTTTCTGAGCTGTAACTGTGCTCTGCTTTATCAGCATGAATCACTTTGACCCATAGTACAAGTTTTCCATATATAAAACATCAGGTTGAAGGATGCATTCTGTGGCCATTAATGAGAGTTCAACCAAGTAACATGCCCCACTAAACACAATGTTTAAACACAGTGGTATCCAAAATGGGATGAGAAAGTGTGCAAGAAGTTCAATACATTAGAGTGTCTATTATTTCTTACCTAATTTTAAATTGTACAGTGTTATAAATTTATAAACATAAATGATATATAGTGTAAAAAGTTTAATAAATATATTATTTACATTCTTTATCTCATGCTTTTAATTTTATCATTCCTTAACATATGCATATAATTTTTTAAATTAATTAATTATTTTTGAGATGAAGTTTCACTCTTGTTGCCCAGGCTGGAGTGCAATGGCACGATCTTGGCTCACTGCAACCTCTGCCTCCTGTGTTCAAGCGACTCTCCTGCCTCAGCCTCCCAAGTAGCTGGGATTACAGGCATGTGCCACCACGCCCAGCTAATTTTTTTGTATTTTAGTAGAGATGGGGTTTCTCCATGTTGGTCAAGCAGGTCTCGAACTCCTGACATCAGGTGATCCACCCGCCTCAGTCTCCCAAATGCTGGGATTGCAGGTGTGAGCCACCACACCCAGTCCATATAATTTATAAATAAAAATATGTATATTGAGAAGTTCTTGCTCAAAAAATCTTTACTGACAGGAGTATGCAGTGAAAAAAAAAAAAAAGTAGGGAACACTGCTTTAAACAGAAACATAAAATTAAACATAAACATTGCTGAATAACCATATTACCCAAAGAAGCGGTATCTACCTTTCATTTTATAGTAAAATTTGATAAGTTTCACAGCTTTAGAATTGTACTGGATGAATGTTATTATGGTAATTAACAGTATCTATTGTAATACACAAGCTTATCGCATAGTTATTAATATACATTAAAAATATAATACAGGATATAATAAACATAAGGTCAGTATTTCTATGACTTTCTATGGTGTTTCTTTTTATTTTCAGATTTGACTTGGGCTCATTTGCCATAAGAATCATCATCTCTGGCACAACATCTCACTTTTCTTCCAAGGATAAGTTGCAAGAGGTTTGTGACTTTCTATTGTTAACAATTTCAAAAAACATGTTCAAACTGTAGAACTGAAAGTAAACTTAGATATAATCTGATTTGAAGTTCTCATTTTATTTTTTTAAAAAGTTGTTTGTCCAATGCCATATAGCAAGTAAATGGAAGGGACAGGATTAAAACCTGACACTTGGCCGGGCTCACACCTGTAATCCCAGCACTTTGGGAGGCCAAGGCAGGCAGACCATGAGGTCAGGAGTTCGAGACCAGCCTGACCAATATGGTGAAACCCTGTCTCTACTAAAAATACAAAAATTAGCCAAATGTGGTGGTGCGCACCTGTAGTCCCAGCTACTTGGGAGGCTGAGACAGAAGAATCACTTGGACCCAGGAGGTAGAGGTTCCAGTGAGCTGAGATCACATCACTGCACTCCAGCCTGGGTGACAGAGTCAGGCTGCATCTCAAAAAACAACAACAACAACAACAACAAAACAACAACAACAACAAAACCCTGACTCTTAAAATACTTAAAATGCATATATTCGTAGCATTCAAAATGAAAATAGACTTGAGAGGTGAACCCTTTTGTATTATTTCTTTCATATTGTATTATGATGCAAGAGTGATTATATTAAAGTTTGGAAGCCTACTTAATGATCTTATTAACAAAACTATTGTTGGTAATTCCAGTTGTCTTTTTTTTTTTTTTTTTTTTTTCTTGACAGTGTCTCACTCTGTCGCCCAGGCTGGACTGCAGTGGCGTGATCTCGGCTCACTGCAAGCTCCGCCTCCCGGGTTGACGCCATTCTCCTCCTTCAGCCTCCTGAGTAGCTGGGACTACAGGCGCCCGCCACCATGGCCGGCTAATTTTTTTTTTTTGTATTTTCTTTTAATAGGGACGGGGTTTCACTGTGTTAGCCACGATGGTCTCCATCTCCTGACCTCGTAATCCACCCACCTCGGCCTCCCAAAGTGCTGGGATTACAGGCGTGAGCCACCGCGCCCACTCTTTTTTTTTTTTTTTTAAAGCATTATAGTCTGCATCTTTTTTTCACAATAAATCTTGAATTTATTTACCCTTTAGGCAAATTCAGAATTCCAGAACTTAAATCCCAGCTCACCATTTACTCTATGACTTGGGTAAATCATTTAACTTCTTTAGTCACATCGTGGTCACTTGTAAGATGAGGATTTATAATTTTTGTCTTTACCTATTGTTTGAAAATAAAGTGAATAATTATGCAGAAAAGTAGAAAATAATCTTTTAGAGGTTGACAGAGAAATGCCTATACCTGTGTGTATATAATTTGCAAGCTCTTTTGAAAATTGTTGGAAGACAAAGTGGTTTTATTGTTTCTTTGTTTTTGAAACTGCCTCACTCTGTCAGCCAGGCTGGAGTGCAATGGCACGCCATCTTGGCTCACGGTAACCTCCACCTGCTGGGTTCAAGCAATCCTCCTGCCTCAGCCTCCCAAGTAGCTGGGACTACAGGCATGCACCATCATGTCCGGCTAATTTTGTTGTTGTTGTTGTTGTTGTTGTTGTTATTTTTTGTAGAGTCAGAGGTTTTGGCATGTTGCCTAGGCTGGTACTGAACTCCTGAGCTCAATTGATCTGCCTGCCTTGGCCTCCTAAAGCGCTGGGATTACTGGTGTGAACCACCACACACGGCCAAGACAAAGTGTTTTATGAACTGTCAGTAATTTTGTTTCTTCAATATTTTACAGGTGAAACTATTTTTTGAATCTCTTGAGGCTCAAGGATCACATCTGGATATTTTTCAAATTGTTCTGGAAACGATAACCAAAAATATAAAATGGCTGGAGAAGAATCTTCCCACTCTGAGGATGTGGCTACTGGTTAATACTTAAATGGTCAATAGAAAAAGTAGGCCGGGCGCGGTGGCTCACGCCTGTAATCCCAGCACTTTGGAAGACCCAGGCGGGCGGATCACGCCGTCAGGAGATCGAGACCATCCTGGCTAATATGATGAAACCCCATCTCTACTAAAAACACAAAAAATTAGCCGGGCGTCGTGGCGGGCGCCTGTAGTCCCAGCTACTTGGGAGGCTGAGGCAGAAGAATGCCGTGAACCCAGGAGGCGGAGTTTGCAATGAGTGGAGATTGCCTCACTGCACTCCAGCCTGGGCGACTGAGCGAGACTCTGTCTCAAAAAAAAAAAAAAAAAAAGAAAAAGAAAAGAAAAGAAAAAGTACATCAGACATGACTACCTGCATAAAGTTACACAGGGTAACACCAGCAAAGCTCAAGTCGAGAGCTCTGGATATTTTGTCTAACCAACAAGAAGTTTCAAGAAATCAGACAGTGCAGTTGCCTGCTTTCAGCTATCATATCCAGCCAAAAGATGCATAATGATGGAGTGGTGGTGGAAGGCCAGTTCAGTATCCTATTTAAAAGTAAACTTCCCGAATAATGGATATATGTGGAGATACAGACGTAGATATATAGATATAGCTGTAATTATTTAGCCTCAAGCGACTTTCTCCATTGCTTCACGCTACGCCACTATTTAGCTTCTTCAATTTTTTTTTAAACCTTGCTTTTTTAACCTTGTATTCTATAGTTTGCCCAACCAGTTTTACGTCCAAGAAAAATTAGCCAATGCATAGAAGATACAAACTATGAAAGGCAAGGATCAGGAAACCAGAGACTTTGTCACCACATCTCCGATTATCAGAAACTAGATGTCAGGGTTTATCAAGAAGGCTAGGAAGGCCTTTTGGGTTAAGTCTTACATTCATGAAGAATCTCAAGGGTAGATTTTTGAGACCATTCCAAATGAATGGTCTCTGGTCAAATGAACGAATCTGCCTTACAGAGATACAAGCGGGAAAGGAATATAATTCATACCATTTGGTTTAAGTCTTACATTCATGAAGAACCTCAAGGGTAGATTTTTGAGACCATTCCAAATGAATGGTCTCTGGTCAAATGAATGAACGGTCAAATGAATGAATCTGCCCTCACAGAGATACAAGAGGAAAAGGAATATAATTCACACCATTTGGTTTAAGCCTTACATTCATGAAGAACCTCAAGGGTAGATTTTTGAGATCATTCCAAATGAAGTTGAATCTGCCCTCACAGAGATACAAGAGAGAAAGGAATATAATTCATACACCATTGCATTTTTAATAAATCTTTTGAAATTTGCAGAATTAGATTGCATTGTATATTTTGGGTTAAATCATAATTGAATGTAAATATTTAAATGCATCACCATATTTTATAACCCAGCTTAGCATTTCTTCATATTTTAAGGAAACTCCCCACCTCCTTCTTTTAAGGGCACCTCTTGCTCTCTGAAATGCCCTGCTAAATGCTTCTCTTAATTATTTGAATAAGGTAGTTTGGAATAAAGAAAGAAAAGATCACTCTACATACAGATAGTAAACTTAATTTGTGATCCTATATATGAGACAGTATGAAAATACAGATAAGTTTTAGAAAGACTCAAAACAATACGTAAATGACTGATGTTTGCATGATTAAGGAAAACTGGGGATGTTGGGTCAAGAGGGGAAAGTGTTATTCAATCCACTTTGGAGCAATATCATGAAGGTCAATTATAATTCCATATACCTTTCTTTGATGCCACAGTCAGACATAGCATACAGTTTGGGTGGCCATGGACGTGCCCCAATACATTACACATTTTTTTGTTAAATTTGTTTTCAGATCATTTCATGGAAACTGTGACGTATCTTTGACTCTAACTTTGACTTGGTGGTGAATCTACCTTGGTTTTTATAACACCTAAGTGATATCCTTTAGAATTACATGTATTTTAGCTTAAGGAAATTGAAAAAGTAAAACATACTGGTTTTTTCAACAAGACCATATGTAAATTAAATAGTAAAATGTGTATGAGTTTCAGTAGAACTGCACCATCAACAATGTTTCCATAAATATGCAGAGTTCTTTCTTTTGTTTTGTTATTTACAATATTGTTATATTGAATGCATTTGCAATTTCTAGGATTCTAAAGAATTGAGTACTGAAAGTAGCAATTTTATTATTTGATGATAATATGAGAATCACTGTGCCAATACTGTTTTGATGAATAAATAGACTTTTAAAAATAAATGTATTGTACTTATTAGTGTAGTATTTCAAAAACCTTATGGTAGATGCCAGGCCACTGACACCAACTTCAGACTTGGTTAAGTTACTTTTATTTTCTTTTACTCTGAATGAATCAGATGTGAAAAAGTTATATATAAGATCATGAATATATGATGGGGTGAGCAGATACAATTTCTCTGGGCCAGGCCCAGTGAGAATTATGTGGTTCCAGCAACCCACTCATAATGAGAAATCTTTCAGATTACGAAAGCCCAGAACCACTGGCTTTGTGTGGGGGAGAGTGGACACTTTGACCCTCAAGAGTCTAACTAGCCAAGCACAGTGGCTTATGCAGGCACTCCCAACACTTTGGGAAGCCGAGAAGGGTGGATTACTCGAACCCAGGAGTTCAAGACCAGCCTGGGCAACATGGCGAAGTCCTGTTTCCACAAAAAATACAAAAATCAGCCTAGCATTGTGGCACATGCCTGTAGTCCAAGGTACAGGGGAGGCTGAGGTGAGAGGATCACTTGATCCTGGGAGGCGAAGGTTGCAGTGAGCCAAGATCATGCCACTGCACTGCAGCCTAGGTGACAGAGCTAGACCCTGTCATAAGAAAAAAAAAAAAAAAAAGAGTCTAACTGCCATGGTAAGGATTTTCTTGTCCTGTATCAGTACATGCTTCTGCACTTCATTCCTTGCTATGACATTGAGCCCATTTGAGGTTCTATTTGTAAATTTTTTTGTTTTGTGTTTTATTCCACCCCCAGCCATAAGGCAAGCCTCCAAATAGTCATGGGAACTAGTTTTCCACCTGAACACTAATGTCTACCAAACATAAGCCTGCTCAAAATGGCCACATTTTTACTCTGCTACTTTTCCTTCACTTATATTCTTTATTGACCTTCTCTCATCCATGTAACCATGTATCACTATTTTTAAAATTTCAACCTATAGTGGTTTACAACTTTTACATTTACAAACTTTAAACCAATCATGCATTTGCTTGTCTGCTTCCTGGTATCTTAATCTCATCAAAGCCAGGTCTCCAAATCATAAGGAAGAAAGTCTAAAAAGGGTCATGAAAGAAGTGGCTTTACTAGGTCAAAGCATATGTGTATTTCATATAATCCTCTATTTTAATAGTCTGTGCTGGGTAGTTTCCTTAAAAGGATGTTAATTCACTTTCTTCTTATTCATACATTCTGTAGTTGTCAGTACCAGATGTTAATCTCTGATCTCTAGTAATATTTTAGGTACCACTTCCCCTGATATTTTTCTGTATCCTTTAGTTTTAGATGAGTCTTTTGCAAGGAGACTGTACCTGAATTTTGTTTTTTATTATGCTCCCCAACTTGGGCAGGCCCTGGGCTTTGTTATCTGTCCCCAGCACTCTCAAAGGCATAAAAATGGAAGCTTCAGATGCTCTCAAGGTGAAAGCTGGTCTCAGCCTTCAGCTTACCCCTTGGGATTCCTGCCTTCACTTAGTTTCTGATCCAAGAGTATTCCTTACTAACTTTCCAGGTCATCAATGCATTAAAATAATTTTATTCTACATTTTTAGTTATTTTTAGCGGGAAGGTCAGTTAAGGTACCTATTCTAGCATATTCCCAAAAACCACAATAATTTATTTTCTAATGTACAAATACCTAAGTCTGCATCAAACTTAGAAAGCTGGCAGTGTAAACAGATCATTTGTTCAGGATTTAAATCAGGAAAATGTTTAGTATTCATAGTGAGAAATCTTTAGAAAGTCTGAGAAATGCACACTTAACTAACAAACAAGGTAGAAAAAACATTTTATTTCATACTTGTTTCTATAATCTTTCCTTCCCAACCATAAATTCAAGATCTTTTACAAATGTATTCTTCCTTCTTCCAGATGTCCTAATCCTCTACTATGCGGACAGAGAAGGTCAGGAAACTGGTTTTCTAATCTCAGTACATGACTCAGTAATTCTTATCTTTAGTTATTTACACACATGATTTCCCACACTTCAAAATTCATGTCTTCCTCTGTTGAATTATGTCATATTTCTTTCTTTCAATACTATATTTCAGGTTCATTCCTCCATAAGGAATTCCCATAGTAATACCACCTGGTATGTCCGTCTAGTCATCCAAAGAATACCACAGTTAAAATTACAAACCTCATTTTAAGTTAGCCAGAATAAATTGTCTATGAAAAGACTGAAAAGATACAAAGGACATTTTTTCTCAGTTTTAAAACTGTATTCTGCTTTAGAAACTGTTTTCTAGTAAATTGAATTTGGAAATTCTAACTCGTCTCTAATATTTTGAGTTGGAGTTGGGAAAAGGATAGAGAGTTTTTTGAGTTTTAAAACTTAGAAATGGAAAAAGGCCAGGATGGGCCTTGGGACACTTTTTCTAAAAGGGAAACAGTTGTCTCTGTGGCATAAGACTGCTGGCATATAATTTTATTTTCTTTCTATTCATATCTTCAGATGTAGAGCCAAAGACTAAAAGCAGGAGTCTTAGAAGGACAAACAGGGCTTTCTAGCTGGTTGGGGGCAAACAGGTAGAGACACTTCAGCTAATAGGAATCAAAGGAAAGACCTGGTTTGAAAAAATTGTGCACAATCTATGTGAACCAGACAGAGCCCACAGTTGTCAGACCCTCTGTCTGGGTGAGTTAACTTGACTCACACTCAGAGACTAAATTAGAGTTACTCAAGCAACAGTGAATAAGTTGTTAGTTAATGAAAGAGGCTGCATAACATTTAAAGATTTGTATTTGTTTATTCTTGTTCAAAGTTGTGCCTTATCTGTAGATAAAAGTTATGATGCTACCAATCAAAGCACATAACTTCTATCTTACAGAGAAGCCATTATCAGGTAGGACAAGCATATTATTCTTCTGGTTTCAAACAACTGTGCCTCTGGGAAGCCTAAGTATTTGGATTTTTTTTTTTTTTTTTTTTTTGAGACAAGTTCTTGCTCTGTTGCCCAGGCTGGAGTGTCATGATCATAGCTCACTGTAACTTTGAATTTCTGGGTTTAGGTGTTCCTCCTGCTTCAGCTTCCCACGTAGTTGTGACTGAAGATGTGCACCACCGTGGCTGGCTAATTTTCATTTTTTAAT